GGCATTCCGAAACACGGTATTGTAGTTTGACTCTGGGGATAGCTTGCGGGGAGAGCGTTCTGCTAGGCCAGAAACGCTGAATTGCTCTCCAAATCTGAGGGGAACTGGCAATATCGGCACTGCCGTGGCAGGACCACACTGCTACCGCATTGCCGATGTTATCACGCCCCCTATGCGGAGACGCGGCACTGATGATTCGAGTCTTATGGACGTTGAACCATCGGAAATTGCGGGTAGGCGCAGGTCCTCCATGTGCCGTTGCTCGTCGGCGGAAATCGGCCTTTGTCATGCTTGGCCGTGATCAGCCGCCCTCCCTGCTCGCTATCCATCGAGTCCGCCATATATATGACTTAAACCATCGTGATCTCCCAATAAAAGCCCGTGCTTGATCAAGGCATCGTGCTGGAGTCAACTCATGGTTCCTACTTGGAACTCTCAGGTATGCTGTTGGCAAATGCCGTAAGATATAGGCGTAGCGCTTCGACGTGAAGGGTCTGGAAAGGGAAGTCGCCACCGCGCAAGGGGTGCTGAACGGCTGGCAGTTGAATGTTGACGTCCGAGGACGATCTCTTTGCTCGCCATTGAAGGCACGCATAGTAAAAGACATGGCACACGCCTTAGCCGGCCTCTATGCTTAATCTTTGCGAGCTCGTTCTGAACTGAGAGATCCTGCTCGGACGCGAAAACATCCTTGCCTGTTGGAGCACCTTTGGCTGGCTGGATTTTGGAATCTGATGAATAGCGTTGTCCAAAAAGTGGATCGGTAGCCCAGTGTGCGATGTAATCTTATGTGCTCTGTCTTTTCGTAAAATGCTATCTGCTGTCAGCAACCCATCGCTGTCTAACTTCCGGGCAATGGCGTTTTTTTGGCCGCCGTTAATGACATGAGCGGGTCAAGTTCCACTGCCGATATTAAAGGCATGGACGTTCTGACATCTGGCAAGAAGGTGACTTTAAGCCCCTCATTTCTTAATCCTGACTGCAGACAGCCGGATAGTAACTCAATACGCAAGCTCTTGTCAGTTTTCATGAGGATTGCATGGAGGTAAACATTGCCTTTAAATACATATCCGGGATCCTTTGTGGATTCCTTGTAGTGTTTGTCGTAGGCAATAGTAGGAATTCGGCCATTCCCCTTCTAATCTAGTTTCCGAGCATCGCACGGCCCTTTTGGGGGGTCTTCCGTCCATTTGCCTGCTCCCTTTGAGCGTTTGACTTGTTGATATCGCTGCGCTTATTCCAGGACGCGCGTGACGGGGAAACGACGGTCGCTTTTCGTTTAGGCATCTTTCAAACTTTTTGGACATGACAGATCCCTACGACTTTTTGTTGGTATGCATCACTCTTTATTCGTTTTTCCATCAGTAGTACTCATGCATTAGCAGAAGTGGATTATTATTGGTACAAGCAACTGTGGAAAGTATGTATTCGAGTTGGTTTCGCATATCCAACTTTCCCAACAGCACTGACATTGCGATATGCAGATCATGTCTCTTGTCACGCTTTGTTGAAAACAAGTGTAAGTATTCAGTCAACTAAATATTTGGCCAATTGCGCTGACAATGTGTGCACACACACAGTCAAGGCTGGTTCGGCTCACACGGTCGGCATAGAGTTTGGGTCCAAGGTGGTAAAGATTGGTAACAAGGCGGGTACGTGTAAAAGTTCTATGCGCAGCCGTTTCCTATACCTACGTACTTGCAGCGACTCACGGCCTCTTTTTTTCCCAGTCAAACTCCAAATCTGGGATTCAGCAGGTCAAGAACGATTTCGGGCCGTCACGCGCTCGTACTGGAGAGGTGCCGCAGGATGTTTACTGGTCTATGACGTGACATCCAGATCTTCATTTACACAGCTCAAGGGCTGGTTGGATGACGCAAGGGCCCTCGCATCACCGGACGTCGTGGTCGTACTGGTTGGGAACAAGATGGATTTAGAAGAGTATCGGGAAGTGAGCTTTGGCGAGGCGACAGAGTGGGCAAATGAGGAGGGGTTGGTGCATGTCGAGACGAGTGCGCTTACGGGCGAAGGGGTCGAGGAGGCCTTTTTGACGGGGGCGAGGAGTATTCTTAGTGCCATCGAGACGGGTGAGTATCTAACACGAGTAATGCACAAGCGCTAGGGAGAGGAGCATGGCTGGGCATGTGCTCCTATGTGGTTGGAGAGGGAGTGGGTAACGTAATGAACACTTGCTCTCCTATGCATAGTGATGGCCATCGCCTCGCGGTACCCAAATCTTATCACACAGTTACTCATACGACACTCCGCTAACAGGCAAGATCGACCCAGACCGAATGGGCACAGGCATCCAATACGGCGATCTAGCACTTTTATCACACAAGAGTCTCTCTACCGAGAAGCGACGAGGATGTTGTTCATAGCTTAGTAGTAGTTTTATGTTTCTTAATTTTTTTTCTTTGAATATAGTGAATGGCCGTCTATGTCTAATGCAAGGGCAGAGTAAAGCACGTTGGAACCGCCATTGGCATGATTTCCTTGTCTTTGGTGTTTCCAACAGGGAGACCTTTTTCGGCTATAAAAGATTAAATGAGATACGTGAAATCGCAACGCTCAGCGTTGACCGCCGTGCTCCCCCCATGAGAAGCTACAAGTATCGGTCCAATATTTGAACGAGATGCGGTGATGCTCCATGTGTTCTCCAATTTGCGCACTAGTTGATGGATCGAATGCAGACTCGTGAGTCCCAAAGTTCCAGGTATCTTCAATCACAAGGACAATTGTTCCAAATTCAGTTGTAAAAAGCATGTCGGCATCCTGTTATCTGAGAAGTGGTTCCCACAAACCTATAAAAGGCCACTTTGGAGGGTCTTGGCATCAGAAAGTGGGCAATTATGAGCAGCAACAAGCAACATGCAAAAGTCGTTTCATTGCAACAAGTCAAAGGTGTGCGGGTCCAGACGTGACAATTGCACATGAATATAAACAAAAAAAGAATCTACGACCTCTAAAAAACGATTGCTACCAGGGTATCAAAAGACCAACTCATCCTTTTCCTCTGTAAAGGGTAACGGTTCCCCAATTCTCAAATCCAACGCATCACTTTCCTCTTTCTCCAGATTTTCCTTTTCTACGACATCCATTCCTCGCTCCCTTAAAGTGCATTGCCTCTTGCGTTCAGCCACAGCGTGTTGATCTATATCAATGCGGACCCTTTTTATCCCACACGGCGACGGGACTTTATACCCATATTCCGCATACCGAGGCGGGGTATCAACGTAGCCACAATTCAATAATCCTAGAAATCCGCGCGGGGAATCTGGGATACGGATTCGGGTTCGGTTGGCAAGGGGTGTGGTGTCGGCGGGACGAGTACATTTGGTGGGGTGAGGGGTACCAATGATCCATGTATCTAATAGTGGCTCGTACCGCCTGATTGCAAAAGAGCATGTCATGAACATGGTGTCCAATGTGACATCAGATGCAAAGGAAAACATACCATCTAGTCCCCTTTTCAGGAGACGCCGCCAAAGCATTTTCCAACTCTCTCAACTCTCGTTTTAGTTTCTCAGCGTCCTCACACCCTTCAATCATTTCAAATTGGTTCAACATGGTGATAGTCACACGCAGCACCAATGGCAAGGCATCCAATTCCCTAAACCGCTTACGCAAGGCATCGAGATGGGAGTGTGTCGGCAGGTAGGTCACGATGCTGTCCATATTGGACGTAGTGGACAGATTCGAGATGCGGTCCAGCGTCGCATCAAGGTCGGATTGGGTGGGACAGAGTTGCATGTACCGGAGCAACAGGGCCAGTCGGAGTGTTGGTGATAATTCGAGCTGGGCAGAGTCCATGTCGAGACATAGATCCACAATTGTGTCCAAACACAAGCATCCGAACCCTCGACATCCGATGGAATGAATCAAAATCCCATGCACCCATTCCCCCAATCTCGAACAACAAGGTGCATCCTCTCCAGCACGTAACACTACTCTTGTCGCATACATTCTCAAAAGATCCGATTGCAAAGGATTCAACCCTTCCATCAACTTGCCGAACCCAATTTGATTACACTGATGGACGGTGAGGGTCTCTCCTATAATGTGCACCCATTGGGTCCGTTTCCGGAGGTTGAAGGCGGCAGTAAGGGACCAGTGCGTGTCGGCAATGGAATGTCTCCGCCGAAGACTCCAGAAATGATGTAAGAGCTCCCACGCCTGATGCATACGTGAGATGGTGATTGGGAAACACTAGGTCATATCTAGATGTACCTGTTGATGAGCCTGAACTGCAATACACACATCCACCATGGACATGAACACCCGTTCAATTGGAATAAACGCCTTGCAAAGTTGAATGACGTGACTCCACAATGCCATTCTAAGGCGCACACATGTTAAGACTCCTTTTTGTTGTCACGATCAAACAACCCACACCCTCTCACCTCCTCCAATGCGGCGGCAAGGCCTCATACCAGGCCTCTTCCACATCTGCCTCCTCCTCATAGTCGCCAACTGGCATGTTTTTGGCAACAGCAAACGCGGCAAATTGCGCTAAACTGGGTACGTGCCCATAGCATTCTATGGAGGTCCGTTTTCGTGGTTTGCGACGAGGTGATGTACACCCCTCCCAGACCTTTTCCGCAAGGTCCTGGAAATAGTCCTGAAAGCTGAGGGTATGCCGTCGGAGTGGGGATGCATACGACCGGGTATCCCCTTGTAAGATGGGTGGGAGGGCTGTGTTATCTCGCGTTTCCAGACGAGTTCGGGTCCGTCCGTACTTGAAGGTAACTTGAGAGTGTCGCATATATCTAGCAGGTTTTGACAGTGGGGTTTCGACGGAGGAATTGTCCAACGGACGGAGATGGGTCGTGGCATCCTTTGCGGCATCTGCTAATGCAGAGAGTTTGGACCGAAGTTGCCGGAGTTGCCGACGGATCTTTCGGATATCTGTAAAATCCATCCCTCCCTTTTAACATCTACCCGTTCAGAAAAAAGCTCCAGAAAGTGTTCCAAAAAACACGCATCTGTCCGAACCCTCGAACGCGTAAAGGGCCCATTTGACAAACGCGCGCGTCAGCGACAAGAGCAAAAACAAACCTTCTACCATTTTTGTCCATCAGATATGTCCCTCCTCTACACAAACCCCAAGCAAAAGCGCCGACAAACCCGTCCTGAACTCACTGACGAGCAAAAGCTCGAAATCAAGGAAGCATTCGAGCTATTTGATACGGATAAGGATCATGCGTTGGATTATCATGAACTCAAGGTGTGGTCAAATGTCGCGGGCCCAAAAGGTTGGAAGCTGTGCGTTGAACAGACTATTTTAGGTCGCAATGCGAGCCCTAGGCTTTGACGCCAAAAAGCCCGAAGTCCTCAAAATCCTGCGAGAATACGAAAAAGACGGACAGGCTGGTCTAATTGATTTCGAAGACTTTAACAAAGTCAGTACGTATCCCCTCTGTCTTCATATCCCTCTGACTCTGCATGCGGTCTCACAACCACTCAGTGACGGAACGCATCCTCTCACGAGACCCCATTGAAGAAATCCGGAAAGCATTCCAATTGTTTGATGACGACGGAACAGGCAAAATCACACTACGCAACCTACGTCGAGTGGCAAAAGAAATCGGAGAGAATTTGGATGATGATGAGCTGCAGGCGATGATTGACGAGTTTGATTTGGATCAGGATGGAGAGAGTATGTCCTGGTTGCCTGTTTTCTTTTTGCAAGAGGATTTGAAAAGCTTACTTGGTTTCCCCTAGTCAACGAACAAGAGTTTCTGGCCATCATGACAGATAACAATGATTAAGAACCCCGCTTGTACCCTACCACCCAATCCCCAAACCACATCGGGGACGATGTAAAACTCTTTGTAATATAGTTTTCGTGTTCAATATACTGCACACCCCAAAGGCAAAAAGAAAGAGATCATGTAATATAAAAGGAACAGCCTATCCTCTCTACCAAAACCAGTGTATCCAAATACAACATGTACAAACACAAAATAAAATATACATCAAGAACCAACCTCGTCCACGTCCACACAACACGGAATGACGACTTGTTTGTCAATACAGGGTGATATCCGCTGTGACGACTCTGATGCAGAGTCTGAGGGCTCGGATGGTGAGGAGAGGAGAAGGGGTGACGGGCTGTCAGATGGGAATGGAGGGACACCGGCGGAAGGGTTGGTGACAGGGTCTGTTACAAGGTCCACGGAAGGCGAAGAAGAAGAAGATGATGATGATGACGACGACGGGACTGGCAGAGCTTCAGAACTGGCGACTTCCAAACCCATCTCTTCCGCCGCAACCGGAAAAGACGGTATTGCCTCCCCTCTCTCAGCTCTCAACACTGCCCTCACGGCCTCCAACGCCTCCCCGGACATTTGCTTAACTTCGTCCGCCACCTCATCCCGCGGCGTATACTCGGGCACCCACACCTCCCCTCCCACCACTTTATCATAATCCAGAGGCGGGACCAACGCCGGTTCCTCTCTCAATAAAACGTCACAGTCATCCTTTCCAACGGATGCTAAAACGCATCCACTTTCCATGACCAATTTATCAGCGCCAATGAATTCAATAATGACTTGCAGGCTATGTCGGACTTCGACATGGGCGGGAAGCAGTGTTCCTTCAGGGGGCACAGGGGGAGGGTTAGTGATTTTAGCGGTCGAGGGGGCAAAACCTCCAAGCGAGGGTATACGGAGAACGGTTTCGGATTCGGCATACAAGCCGTCTCCGCCACGGCAAATGAGGCCCGGTCGTGGTAGAGGCGACTTTTCACTCGGGGAGCGGACGGCTTCTTTTCGAGGAATGTGAGAGAGTTCGAATTCACCGTCGCTTGCCTCGGGTAATTGTTCGGTTTGTTCCCAACGCAGTAGTTCGGTGGTTCCCTTGACTTTGGTGCCCTTCCGTTCAATCGGGAATTCCGGGTCATCCGCTCGCCCTTGACACCGCTGTTCCCCTACCACATGATGCTCCCGAAGGACCAGTGAAATCTTTTTCAATCGCACACCCTTGCGGGCAGACTCGCTAGCAACAACAACGCGGTAGGCAAATCGAAGGGGATCACCAGGTCCCATAGCGACAGAGCCGACTTCAATGTCGTATTCTACTGGTACGGCACCTGGAGCGGATCTCCAGCGCCGAATATCGGGATGCAGGAGTGTGGGAAGGAGTCGGGGGTCGTAGACTTGGAAAGGATGGAGGGACGTTGTGGCAGTTCGGATCGTAGGTACCGCTCCAAATATAGATGAAAAAGCACCACCAACAACCTCCGTCAATGTTGCTGTCACTTCATAAGTTACTCTCCCCTGATAGGTATTCACACCGCCAGACTGTCGACCGAGGAAGGCGCTAGAGGGGGGTAAAAGGTGCGGGGAGGGCGTCGTTCCCGGTGGAGGTGGAGGCAATGTTGCAGGATCAGGGTCAGGTGGAAATGGTACATCAAATGGAATCTCCAGCACCGTTCCAGGAGGTACCACTTCAATCTCAGTTAACAAATCCACCGTCTTGAACAACAGCACATGCTCTCGTTTCGTCACGTCAATGCCTTCAGAAATGTCTGTGTACAGACACAATGCCACCCCGCTGAGTGTTATGCTCAAGGTCTGAATCCGAAGCGGGGCAGTTCGTCGGGCGAGGGATGCAAACCCTGGTTCATGGGATATGCGAACTAGTCCTCGAACAGAGCATTGTTCAATTCCATAAAAGCCTTGCAAGAGGTTGTTTGTGTCGGGGAGCGGGTGAATGGAGATCGTTGTTGGCATGAGTATAATGTCGTTGCTTTTTTCAAGTAGGTCCAGAAGGGCAATGCCCAAGTGCTCAAGATGGCATCAAGAAGCCAAGAAAATAAAAAACAACAGATTGCCTTAAGAAAAAAAACGAGGATCCAATAGAAAGAAATCACACCCAAAAGGCCAGTCCGCCGCCCTTTTCCATTCCTTGGCCAGTGCGAGGCTTAGCAAATCACGGCCGTGACGTTTTGAAAGCACATCGATTTCCAACGTTTTTGAAAAAAACAACGATTTTTGGGGTTATGCACTTCATGTATTTACTAAAGCTACAGTTCATGCCGTATCGTCTCCCATCTCTTGAATGTATAGCCCACAAACGCCAAATCTTTGCCAGGATTCGACATAAATTCTGCCGTCCCATTGGTCCCCGTATCACCACCCATGTGCTCCTGCTCGCCCACCTGTTGCGGGACACCCACCAAATCTTCTGTGGGAAAGTAGGACGTATCTGTGATGGACTTGAGTTGGGGGATAAACGGGCTGCGGGTTTTACGGATGTTGTGCCAATCAACACCACGAAAGAAGGGGTGGGAGCGAATTTCGGGGGCCGTTAGCCGGGTTTCGGCGTCGCAGAGGAGACTGGTATTGGACGATTAAAAGTGGACAAGAGAACGAGTTTCAAGAGATCTCAACTCACCTCCGGATCAAATCCTCTGCCTCACGGGAAAGGTGCACATCATCTGGAACGTACAGATACTCTTTCCAATTGATAATCTTTCGATATGTCTCGTGGGCGCTCTCTGAGCAGAAAGGCGGATATCCCACCAGACATTCAAACATGATGGCGCCCAATGACCACCAGTCACATTCCTTGCCGTAGCCCCGTTGTGAAAAGACTTGAGAAACCGTTAGCCTTTTTCAGTGGTGGCTTTGCAGATATAAAAAGTACCTTCTGGTGCAATATAATCCGGTGTACCCACGGTCGAGTATGCCTAGAAACAGAAATGCTCAGATCAACACACACGCTCCACATTCTTGCTAGGTGCCAACCACGATAAACACTAACCAAGGCCCGCCGATTCCTCTTCCAAGTTGCCATCCGATCCTTGCGCGAAAACGTCAAATCAATATTCTTTTGAGTTCCAATCTGATCAATCTTGCTCGCCGGGTTTGAATTGTCCAAAAGTCGCTGGTAATACGTCGAATCATGGGTTTTGTGGAACCCGGTTGACAATCCGAAATCAGAAAGCTTGATGTGCCCATCCTTGTCAATAAGAACTGGAAATACGCGTGAGTATGGAGCGGTGAGAGCGGTATGTGGCAACTACATACGGTTATCTGGCTTGATATCCCTATTGGACGCGGGTATCGATTAGTAGACTGAGACAATAACTGTACCAGACGCGAAACATACCGGTGAACATAACCCAAACCGTGCACGGCATCAATGGCAGATACACACTCTGCCATGTAAAATCGGGTCACGTCTTCGGAGAAGGTATCATACTTTATCAACATGGTCATTAAATCACCACCCGGCAGAAACTCCATAATCAAGTAAAGATACAATGAGTCTTGAAAGGAATAGTAGAGCTGTACGACCCATGGTGTATGTACGGATTCGGCGAGTACGTCACGTTCTGCTTTAACGTGTGCGAGCTACACGAGAGACGGGCTCAGCGTTGCACCGTTCAAAGCAAGTATTTCGTATACAAACCTGGTCTTTCTTAACCATCTCTGTCTTTCGCAGAGTTTTCATGGCATAAATCTTGCCTGTATCCGACTTTTGGACCAACCGAACCTCCCCAAACGCTCCTTTCCCGATTACTTTGACAGTATTAAAGTCTTCCACACCCATTCGGACGCGCCGCAATCTAAGAAACTCTGATTCTCGCTGTCCGTACGCAGCCAATTGTCGCTGTTTTCGATCCTCTGTCCACGGCTCCTGGCTAATTCTCTCCTCTGTTTCCTTTCGCCTGGAAATAAATACGCCGACGTCACAAGAATGCATCACAGACAACAGAAAAAGGTATCACTACCTCGCCTCTCGATCAGCACATTCCGTCACAACTCCTTTGTAAAAGTGCTCTAGTTTGTACTTGGCAGCGGTGGCGCGGTCTATGGTGGCCTTTGAGAGTCCTTCCGTGGAGCGATGAAAAATGTATTGGCCGGCATGATCGTATATAGAGTCGGCGCTGCTACCCGGGGAAGATGGAGCGCCCGACGTTGGGTGCGGGTATTGGGACGCCGAGGCGTCGCTCATGGGGGGTATAAGCTAGATTATGGTCGGGACGTGTTGGGACGGAGGGTATGAGGTAGTTGCCGGCCGCTGTTGCAAATGAAAGAACAATGCGAGCGCGTTCTGCAATTCCTTTCTCTCCCGTCTTGCTGCCAAATGTCTTCCCCGTTGTCGCTCCAATAAACCCCTTCCTACGATGAGGTCCAAATGGGCTGGCAAACAAAAACCCAAACGTCACCGTTCAAAAGTCTTTAAACACGGCCGCTTTGGACAAACCACCGGCTTGCTGTGCCACTGCTGCGCCGCTATCACAGGCACGTGTTCAATGGCCCTTTGCAGATCGGCCTTTTGGGCATTCTTTTGACGTTGCTGATCGCCATGGCTGCTGATCTCGTTCCTTACACGACGGTCCAGGAGACGCATATCCAACTGACCAACGAAGCAAATGCCAATGCACACGATATACATTGCCCGGCGTGTAAGAGTCTCATTCTCAAGCGAGGGGTCGCGACGCAGGTGGAGCATGATGCGTCAGTGAGTAAAGAATGTGTGGCTATCTGGGCTCATTCTAGCCATTAACACTTTTGACATTAGGTCAATCTCCCATCATACACATCTACAACCGCTCCTCCGTTCAACTGGGCTGTACCGACCATGATGCATTTCGAAAACATTGGATTCTCGCACGCGGTTGATGGACGGCGGTTTTTGGCGTGTGCGGATTGTGAAGGAGGGCCGGTGGGGTATGCGGGCGAGGGGACATTTCTTATTGCGGGGGATCGTGTGAGGTACGGGGTTGGGCGATAGCTGTGGGCTGTGGATCAAAATAGGGCGAGTATTGAGTCTTGGATCGTGTTTGATACATGTTGGATGCGGACTCGAAGGATTTTGAGCCAGTAGAATTAGCCAAAAGCTGACGTTTGTTGTGGGGTTTGTCAGAGATGGCTGCTGTAGATTAATTGATTTTCGAGTGTGTCTTGTTTATATGTAGGAATATGCAAATCAAAGGTAAAAGCGCTCGTGCCATAACGGCATCATCCAAATATCATAAAAGAGTCACTGTTATGACTTTGGCACAACCTCCAAGCCCCCGTCCACAACATTGACCACCTCACCTTCCCGTCCCACTTTCTTGTCTTCTCCACTCTCCCCCTCGTTCTTTTGCAGCTCTGATTCCAAATCCCCCTCGCCTATCGCAACCCTTCGCACCTCAGCCCCCTTCCTCTTCATAATATCCTCAATAGTTCCAGGTGGATCCAAACTATCAAACCACCCCAAATGATCTGCAAAAAGGTGCAGACTCGCGCAGCCTTCGCATCGAATGATAACAACGCCTTTTTCGTAGGCATGTTTCGACATTGACTTGTGCTGGCGGGTTGAGCAGACTTTGCAAGTGTAGACTGCGTGAAGGCGCGGGGTGATTGATGGGCTCGCTGGTGGTGTGCTAGAGGAGTGTTGTGAAAGGAAGGGGCGGGTATGGAAGAGGCGGGGAACGGCGCAGGGAAGGAGAGATCGCTTGAGGAGGTGAGAATTCGGACGAATTGCTCCGATTCTCCACACTGCGCGGAAAGCAATCCTTGAAGAATGCATCGTTGTCGGCCAAAAATCGTGCTCGATGCGAAACAAAAATGTCAAAAAAGCCTTTGTTGGAACACAATGACAAAAACTAGGAAAAGAAGCGAGGCCTCAAAACCTCACGTAATGGTAGCCATAGCAACAGTAAACTGAATGAGTCATTCAGCAGATTGCCTAATGGAACGATCTTGCCGGTGAATCCATCTTTTGGAGGACGTTTGGATGTTCAAAGCGGAATAGTTGAAAGGCCGGCGTACACGAGTCCATCGCCAACAACAAATTCCACTGCCAGTTCTGCGTGACCCTTTGGATACTCGTGTGTCGAAACTTGCAACATGCCGGTAACGAGATCTGTGGTGGCCTCGTTCAAGGGAAGGCTGGTTGGCGCACCTCCACTGTCGAGTCTTTGCACGCAGGCCCATTTTCGCTTCATACGCTTTTATTCTGCATCGACGCATCCCCCACCTGCATCTACTGAAGCATTGACCATTGGCATGGTTGGAAGTGGACCAGGTCGGTTACCAAAATTCGAGTACTGGTGTTTGCAAATGTACGCTCATCCAATGACCCAGCGGGCTTTTATACTGCTCAGCATCTGCTCAGAAATCTTCCGAATGTAAAGATTGACATGTATGAAGCGTTGCCAGTGCCCTATGGGCTGGTCCGATTTGGTGTAGCTCCGGACCATCCAGAAGTCAAGGTTGGGGAAACAGTTTTTCGTTCCCAAACGATTCATAGTTGGACTCACGCTTATTTCCGATGGCGCAGAATGTGATTCACAAGTTCGAAACAATAGCTCAGGATCCTCGCTTTCGATTTATTGGGAATGTGCGCATAGGGCATGATCTCGATCTCGCAGAGCTGAAACCCCGCTACGACGCGCTGATTCTCTCATACGGTGCTAGCCAAGACCAACGATTGGGATTGCCCGACGAAGACGCAATTCCAAATGTATTTTCTGCGCGAGCTTTTGTAGGATGGTATAATGGTCTGCCGGAGCATCGTGACTTGAATCCGGATCTAGAATCATCGGATACAGCGGTGGTCATTGGGCAGGGGAATGTCGCTTTAGATGTCGCTAGGGTTTTATTGATGCCTTTGGACGAGCTGGCTAAGACGGATATTACTGAGCATGCCCTTGAAGCGTTGCGGCGGAGTAAAATTCGCCACGTACACCTCATCGGGCGACGAGGTCCTCTCCAGGTGAGCAATAAAGTCATACCCCTATGGTAAAGTGTACGATTTTTGATATTCCCAATGCTCATATCGCGAGTACCTCTTAGGCATCTTTCACAGCCAAAGAACTCCGTGAAATGATTGCGCTTCCCGACACCAAACTCCATCTTGATGTTCCCCTCCTTCAAAGCCAAATGGAAGCTGGATCCGCCATTCTATCCAAGGAGCGACCACGACGTCGTCTGATGGAGCTCCTACTCAAAGGCGCTACAAACCCCCTTTCAAACACATCCCCAACCTCCAAATCCTGGTCGCTCAAGTTCTTAAGTAGTCCCATTCATCTTGTTACAAATCCAACAACGCAAGCACTCGAAGGCCTGCAGTTGGAGAAGAATAGATTGGAAGGTCCATTGAACGCACCTCGTGCTGTTGGAACTGGTGAAATAGAAGAAATACCATGTGGATTGCTACTTCGATCCATTGGATATAAAAGCGTACCTCTCCAAGGGTTGCCCTTTGATTCAAAGAGGGGGATGATTCCGAATGTCCGGGGCAAAGTTCAAAATGAGGTACGGTGCTCACAAGCAATGCTGAATCTTGTCCTGCCGCGCACCATTTCTCATTCATTTCTAGGACTCTTTCACCTCAGGGATTTATGTTGCGGGCTGGCTCAAACGCGGTCCAACTGGGGTCATTGCTGCAACAATGTACGACGCCATCGAGACTGCTGACACAATCATAAATGACATTCAAAAGGGAGAACTGCAGCCCAGGATAGGTCCCACAGTTCCGCCGGGATTCAAAGGTCTGGAATCGATGCTTCGCGCGCGGGGGGTCAAGGTTGTCGATTTTCATGCATGGAAGAAGATTGATGAGGTGGAGGTCGCAGAAGGGACTCCTAAAGGGAAGCCGAGGGAAAAAGTTGTTGAGGTAGACAAAATGATGGAGATTGCGGGCCGCTGACGACTCTATAGAATGTATATTATAGTAATGGTGGAGCAGATGCACCTGAAAAGCCGCAACGAAGATGTAAACTGCACATTGTTTTCGTACTAATTATCATAACACTGGCTCGTTGTTTGATTCCCAGCATGCATCTTGCATCAGTTCGCGTCATACATAAAATCTATCTACAAAAGTTCATCGGTATCCCATCCCAGCGTTGTCAGCAGCGTAGCCACTTTGCTCCGGTATGACTCTACCACTCTGCTGGGGTAATCTTTAACAGAGTCTGCGGCCACATCTGACACATCAGGGCTGCTACATGATAAGCCCTCCGCCCCGGTTGCCTCACCCTTCCGCACCTTACAGCAGCCACCACCTTCTTTCATCTCATCCCTTTCTCCAGAGGCCTTACAGCATCCACCTCCACTCTCGCACCCCGTCGTCGCCGAATTTGGAGCATCCGGTCTTGTGGTATCCGTCGCTTTGAAGTAGGCAAGTGTAAAGACATGATCGACGGACAGGGCTTCCAGTTCAGCATGAAGGGATTGAAGAGTCGATAGATTGGATGGCGATATTGATGTGGCGGCTTTTGGAGAGAGAGTGTAGACTTGTATTAATGTGCTAGACAAGAACATGGTCAGCTAGAATGCTTTGCGGTGAAAGACAGTGACGGGGTACATACCTCAACAAGCCTCGGAGCGCCCCTAATTGGAACCCAATACCTGCTGCATCCTTGAATCCTCTATCAAACCCTTGTTGGAGGCTGACCTGTTTGCCTTCTGTTATTCCTTCCTTGTATCCGACCTGCCCAATAAACATTCAATGGCCCGTCTCTGTTTGTTTGACCGATCAACTGCCATTACTCACCACGCCATGTTGATCCTGCAATCGATTCCAGTTACGCTCCGCAACCTGTTTGTCATACTGACTATCAGATAGCCCCTCGGCATCGTTCCATACGTCGTCCATTTTCAAAGTGCCAAACCCAAAAGTTCGATCACCCGCTTATTCAGCACTCATTGCTTGTTGCCATGGCATTACCACGTGATCATCGACTTGATCTGTCAGCGCGAGATCAACCACCGTCCACAAGAGCAGTTCAAGTGAGACTCATTGGGTTTCAATTAACAATATCAAAAGCATGTCTGCGTTGAGGGATCTCGTAGGAAGCGGTGCAGAATGCTCGGGAGGAAATTCCTTGAGTCAGTTCACCAAGCAGCTGCAGCAGGATAGGTCGCTTCAACAGGTTAGTGGTGTGCAGTCTTCTTTTTTCCTTATCCCCGAAACCGGAAGCTGACAGGCTTATTTGTGCCTATTTAGGAACGATTTGGATTTCCAGATGAAGGAGGGAGTAGCTCGGTACGATTATCATCATTCAGTAGTAGCGTTGGAAAAAAGGTCACTGATGTTTTGACTGGCTTGGACAGAGCTTTGGTCTCCGAGAGCGGCCTGGGATGGAAAGGGGGATGGATATGGATGTACGTAGTATGATCTTCTTTGAATATTGTGCCTGGGAGCTCACGCTTAAGCTTGTTAGAACATGCTTGGGGAGTTTTTCGAAGGCGCCCCGCCCGACGCTCAAAGATTTCACCAGCCGGACGTCTTCAGTATGAATTCACTTGGTAAAGAATTGGAACGAATAGGTCCACAAGCGACAATGCCGGTCAAGAGTGATTGGGCTGTTGATTTTGCTCGACAGAGCGAGGGGCGACCGATGGATGGAATGAATGCGATGCAGTTTTCTGAATTTGAGGATATTTACCAGAGAGAGGAACAAGGTATGATAACTACTGTTTTGCGTCTTCCTCTTGTTGGTGCTAAAGTCATTGTGCATCGATAATAGTGGGACCCGTAGGTGCACCGGAAGCGTGGGCAGTAGAGTTTCATTCACGACATCATGAGATGCAAGGCCCGCATGTACATCATGAAATCGCAGAGTTTGAGCGGGCATTTGAGGAGGCAAAACGTAAGGACATCAGCTTAAAATGAGCCCACTTACTTTCATTCTAATCCCCACCTTGCAAAGACCAGGTCAGCTGGGAAGCGGAATTCGCAAAATCCGAAGATCCGGCCAATTGGGCGTCCGAGTTCGAATCTTCTCAAGCACAATCGTGGATTAATGAATTCACTGAGCAGGAAGGACTCACTGTGGATGGTGCTACTTCAAAGGAAGCATTGGCGCAGACGGCAGGAATGCTTCTTGACGCCGTGGAAAACTCTGCAAATCCCAAATTCCGCGAATCAAAATTCCTCGATTTTATGAAGAAACTTCGTGATCAGGAAGTGTCTATCGAAGGAAATAAAGTTGTCGAACAAACTACCCCGTTCAATGCTGCAGACTCATGGGCCCAAGAGTTTGGTGCATCGATCAAGTCTCAAAACTGGGAAGAGGAGTTTTCAAGCCAAATGGGACAAGCAGGACCAGCACAGGTTTCTGGACAAGTTAATGGAAATCCAGCCATGTGGGCAGAGGAATTTTCCGGAAAACGAGAGTCGGATTGGGCGACGGAGTTTGGTGGATATGGACCAAAGCTTGAGGATAAGAACTGGACAACAGAGTTTGAACGGCAACAGATGGAGCGAAATTGGGCGGAAGAATTCAACAAGAATATGCCTGCAGATCTGGATGCGGAGGTGTTTGAGGACGGCTACTGGAATGCGTGGGATAATAATGAGGCAATAGATCAACACCAAGGGCGGGCTCTCGGTGGTCGATATGAGGAGTACGAGTTCACTGCAAACAATCCTTATCTAGACAGAGAGACACCCGTGAACTACCGCAATTTGACGGAAGCAATATTGGTCCTAGAAGCTGCAGTTCAGAAAGATTCTACCAATGCAAATGCATGGTACGAGCTCGGGATCCGACAACAAGAGAATGAAAATGACGTTGCTGCCATCGCGGCGCTGAGAGCGGCGGTCCGTCAGCAACCGAGCTTAACAGACGCGTGGATAGGTCTATCTGTATCATACACTAACGAAAGTTTTCGTGAAGACGCCTATGACGCCCTCGAATCGTGGCTGATGAACAGCGATAAATACCAGCACATATTGGAAGGCTCATCGTCGTCAACCAGCCGACATGAAAAGCTTACCAACAACTTTCTGGAGGCAGCAAGACAGAGCGCGGGATCGGATCTGGATGCGGATGTTCAGGTTGGGTTGGGTGTATTGTTTCATATCTCGGAAGAATATCATAAAGCAGTGGATTGTTTCGAGGCGGCATTATCAAAGCGGCCAGAGGTAGGTTTTGGTTGACTCCAATTTGAGTGAAACGTCCATTCACACGTTTCTCAATTCGCGTTCAGGACTACCTTCTTTGGAATAAGTTGGGGTAAATGTCTCTTTCCCAGTCAGAGTAAACTTTAAAATTCAGTTCTGAACATCTTTTTGCTTCCCCACAACAGTGCAACCCTAGCGAACTCTAGCACATCCGACCGAGCCATCGATGCCTATTTCCACGCCCTTGAAATTAATCCCTCATACATCCGCGCACGTTACAACCTAGCCATCTGCTGTATGCAAATGGGTCAATATCGCGAAGCCGCCGAACACCTTCTCGGAGCTCTCTCAGTGCAAACTAACAATATCTCATCCGTGCTCGCTGAAACAAAAGGAGGAGCGGAGGAAGAAGACTTTGCCGCCATGCATAATGTGCAAAGTAGTACGGTGTGGTCAACGCTGAAGATGCTTGCGGATGGGCATTGTGAGTTTTGCAGTTTGCGTTCTGTGTTGGAATTGTGTGATAATTTATGTTAACGCATTTCTTGGCCGTTGTTGTAGTGAAACGACATGATTTGGCGCAGGCTTGTGAAAGACGGGATTTGCACGCATTTCGGGCGGATTTTGATTTTTAAAAAGATTAGAACATATTAGCTTTTAAATAGCATTCACAAACAGTCATCCATAGGTTGGGGTGGACGCAAATAACAAGAGTAGAACCTAGTTCAACTCTCTCATAGAATTTCTGCCAAATCATGACGTTATTACATTTATACAAATGTTGTTAAGGTATGTCTCTGTCCATCGCCTTACCACCACCACCCGTGTATTTTTAAGTATTCCATCTGCTTGGAAGAAGAGAGTTCTTTGACCATGCCAAACCCGGGATTTCTATTTATTTTTTGGGTACGGAGGTCCAAACAACTCATCATCTGCTTGCCACCTATGCTTAATCTTCACATCCGAAACATCCACCTGAGATCCAACCTCCACCAAATGATCGGAAGCCCGCTCAAACATTCCTGGGAACGTGATACGGTACGGCCTTGATTGCCATCCCTCCGCAACCACTAACCTATCGTCCGCCTCACGCGTCTTGATAGCCACCCACTTGGCCGTGTCCTTTTGAGCTTGCTCAGCTGAAAAGTATTCTCATACTTTGACAAAAACTCGGTGATGGGGTGCACGTCCTTGCCGGCGGTGTAGTGTTCGTTGAGGCGGTAGATGCCAGCTGTTCCAGCAATGGCTAGGAAGACTTTGACCCAAAAGCCTGAGAAGAAGGTTTCGGGGTGTTGGAGGGTTTCGGAACCGGTGGGAAGCTCGCTTGTGTGGCCGTAGTTGTTGGTAGGTGGGAAGACCTCGTCGATTGTTCCTGCCCGGTAATGGCCGGGGTAATGGTACTCGTTGGGCCAGCTAGCAGTAGGTTTTCGCAGAAAGACATTTGTCAAAACTCAAACAATTCATAGTAACGATACATTTTAAATGACACATACTTGCGGGCAACCTTCAACCATTCCTCCTTGTGCAAAGGTTGCTTTTTGGGCCCATGACCGTGTTCATCATCGTGTCCCGACGGTGAATCGGCATATCGGCGAACAGACACAGCCAATCGAGTCGCGACACTTGCTCCAAGTAGCGGTGTTGCACGTACCGCTGGCGTTAATGCACGAGAAAGCACCATCTTTGCCTACAATCGCTTCTCAGCGCAAAAACCGGAAACGGAAATGGATGCGTAAAATGGTGCAAATCCCCCGTACGAATGCTTGTTGCCAACCACCCAGACGGATAAAATATAACCAGGTTCGAGTGAGAATGAGTCACCCTCCAGGCGATCGCGCGACGATTTCGTTGGACGGTGGGGTGATGTGGGATGGGTCGCTTGTTGGTGTATTTTGGGGCAAGAGGATGGTCGTTTTCTCGCTCAAGGATTGTTCGTAGCCCTTCCCAACGCTCATTCCACTTCCTCCCTCGCTCCTCCTCCGCTTGTCAAGGCTTCAAAATGATGTCGACGGCCGCTATACCTGCTGTTACGGAAAAGACGTCGCAGTCAACCAAGGCAGCGAATGGGGCCGCTTTGACAAAGGAAAATGAAAAGGCCGCTTTTGAAAGTGTTTTCGACGTATTGGTGGAGGATGTTGTAAAAGAGTTGGATGTGTATAGAGTGCCACCAGAGGGCAAGGAACATATTCGCAAGGTAGGAAATGACGGACGAAACACTATATGAGGAAACAACCTGTTGACTGGCAGCCGGATCTTTGCTAGATGTTGAATTACACAGTTGCTGGTGGTGAGTGTTGTAACATATAGTATGGCGCAGGTCCTGACCGTTTATCTAACTCGTCAAATCTTTTATCGAACAGGCAAGATGAACCGAGGCTTAACTGTGCCTTCTGCACTTCGGTCGCTGTTGAAGCGGGACCTCACGAGCGACGAGTTATTAAAAGCTCAAGTGCTAGGATGGTGCATCGAGTGGGTGAGTGATACATCATCTTCACAGATCTGCCAGCCAATCATATTGACATCCAATGGGTATTCTAGCTACAGGCATTCTTCCTCATTTCAGATGATATCATGGATGCGTCCGTAACCCGGCGCGGACAACCCTGCTGGTACCGACAGGTAATAATCCACTTCAACAATCTTGACAGGTTGGAGCTGATGATGTTGTGGTATCAGGAATCAGTTGGGATGATTGCGATCAACGACGCGTTCATATGCGAATCTGTCATTTACCGCTTCCTCAAAAAGTACTTTCGCACCGCACCCTACTATCTAGACCTGATTGAACTATTCCACGAGGTGACCTACCAGACCGAGTTGGGACAAATGATGGATCTGTTAACTGCTCCCGAGGGAGACGTGGATCTCAATCGATTCTCGATTACAAAGTGAGAAAAGGGTCCACTTTTCTTGCCAATCGACATAAGAGGTCTAACTGAGTACAAAACAACAAGGCACGCCTACATTGTCGAATACAAGACCGCTTACTATTCCTTCTACTTGCCTATCGCTCTCGCCATGCGAATGGCCAGCATAACCGATGAAGCAGCATACGAGCAGGCCAAGGCTGTGTTGCTCCCACTGGGAGAATACTTTCAGGTCCAGGATGACTACCTGGACTGTTATGGGTCACCCGAGGTCATTGGAAAGATTGGGACGGATATTGAGGATAACAAGTGCGGATGGTTGATTGTACAAGCTCTTGATCGGGCGAACCCTGAGCAGCGAAAGCTACTAGAGGTATGCTTTTGTCCGTGTGGAAACGGGACAACTGTTTTTGACATAATGTACTGCAGGAAAACTATGGACGAAAATCACCCGAATCCGTCCAGGTTGTGAAGTCTGTTTACAAAGATCTCCGCATTGCAGACATATATCATCAATACGAGGAAGAAAGTTATGAGCGAATCACAGCACTGATCAATAAGGTTGATGAGCGACTATTGCCTAGAGATATGTTTGTTGCGTTTATGAACAGGTGAGCATTTCATGATTTGGTTAGTTTGGCTAGCTTTGAGTACTGATGGGTTGTATATCTAGGATTTACAAGCGCAAGGCGTAATCGTATTTATATTACGCACAGCACTTGCGATTGTTAGCCGCCAGCTATGGCGTACAGCAATTTAGAACCCCACGTATCTATTCAACTCAAGTTTCTACGGGATTTATTTAGGCGGAATACAAAGTCTGGCCGGCTGCGAGCATCTACATTAAATTAATCGACGCCGTCCGTGCACTGTGTCACTCGTCCATTTTACGGGCCCACTAAGTGCTGACCGCTATAGTCCCAGAACATATGCTAAACCGTACGCAAAACCAGCTATCACTGCAGCATTTTTCCATTCCCATGCTGCGATTCCTTTACTGGCTGCTGATGGGTCACCGGTCCCAAAGTTCCTTGCAATGTGGGCGGTACAATCATAGGCCCAGCCGCCCAAGGACAGTCTGGCCACAAGCCAGTTAAATCCGAGACTGCGAGGCGTCGAGCACAAACTTTCTAGAGTGCTGGTGTCACTCTTGTCCGTATATTCCACGCCAAATACGGCCTTTCCAGCAGTTTTAAACGGCAGGAGCTTGTTACATTCTGAATACTTTGAACATTCCTCGTTTAGCGCCCAATCAAAATAGTTGACCAAATCAGGTATCTGATCCAGATCGTTCTTCAAACCAATGGAGAGGTTCCGAGCATGTGCCTGAACTGCCAACCACCTGTTATAATCAAGCTGGTCTGCGCTCGTCAAGGGAAACCCGGTCGGGTTGATGTATCCGTCCACATTATCAGGTTCGACTCCATCGCAAGCCTTTTGAACCGCAAGATCCATCCTTGCTTTCATGATACGTCCTAAATCCCCTCCATCGCTGCTACCAAATCCGCGGATATCAAGCCATTTTTCACCTTTCCACCCTTGTAATCCTTTCCCGATGATTGCAGCAGGGAAACTACCCGCATCCGATCTCCAGTTCTCGTAGCTCCCTGCTGAGAAGTAACAGATGACTTTTTTGCCTGCAGATTTGAGAGTGGATATAACTGTCGCATTGGTGTCGAAAAGGTCAATGTCTACCATTTGTATGGTAGGTTCCGCCACTAGGCTCGTGATATTCAAGCTCCCACCCGTCGAAAGTTGCCAATGCCAGCCGATGCTGCTAGCTGAAGGAGGTGTCCAGATGGACACACTAGCGACGGACATGGTGTCGACAGTTGCGTAAAGGCCAATGAGGGCTGCACTGTGGTAGTCTTCATGGCAGCCTTATGTCATGGTGGGTCTGTGGTTATTCCGATGGTCCATAGCATCCAGACCCCCAACAAAAACACGCGTAGGAGAGGCGCTCTGGATTACGTAAATGTCCGAACTGGCGCAGCATCTGCTAAACCACCGTAACTGATAATGTGGGAATCCTTGACCTTTCTCCGCTTAACAACCAGATTCTGCCGGAAAACGTACCTGTTGCTGGTCGAAAATGCGACAAGAAACGCACCTGGACGTATTAGAAACAGCGATAGGCATTGAAAAGCGAGTGGTAGGATGTCTTTAATCGACGCGAATTACATCAAGTATTCGCAGATCACTCACGTTTGTCTGTGCGATGTATAGGTCACTTACAAATGGTTGAGCCGAAAGCTAAAAGTGGACGTAAACACGGCAAAGAGGTGAAACTATTCTTAAATGAATGGGCAGTTGCTTGTTGGATGGCATGAGATCCGCTAACCTCTGAAAACCCGTCACGATCAGGATGCTGTATGAGTATTACCAGACGCCACGGACGGACCCAGTACATGCTATCTATTATCTACAAGGCGAACCGAGAGATGGGGATGGCATATTGTGTCAGGTGATTCCAGAAGAGAAAATAGAGGGTAAGAGATGAGAAGAGGGCCTTAACTATGGTCACGTATCTTATCATAAGGTTGGCCAGAGGCGAAAAAGCAGTATAAACGATACTGTATCCACATTTATAGCTTGCAGCCATGCAGACCAAAGGTAATGGCTATATTCAGCTTGTTTGCTAAGGCTTGTGTGCTGATCACGCTGCCCACAGGACAAAAACATACTTCTTAGTGTCGATTTTGATGTTGCACAGAATGATACCGTCGAGATCTTGAGGTACGATGTGTATGTGACGAGTGTGGTATGATGGTAAAATCTAACAAGTCATCTCAATCGCAGAAAATGCCGCATAATACGACATAGTACAGTGAAACATCAGCAACGAACTGGCGGCACTGCACTAGCTGCCGTGCAGAAACCGGCTGTACCTTCACGAACAGTTGAATCAAAGTTGAAACAAACGAAAGAGGTTAGCTACAATGGAGACTTGATGAATTTGTGCAACGCGCCTCTAAAAGTCTCTCTGAATCGTAGGAACCGGTGCCTCCTAAAGCTGTTGGCACCAAAGCGGTAGCTGCCGGACAAGGGTAAGAATTATATGGCATCCCACCTAAATAAGTTTTGGATTGCCATCGTTTCTCATGTCCTCCAGTAGATCGACAAAACAAGAGATCCCCGCAAACGGGAAACCAACTTTCTTTGACAAATATGAGCAAAAGGCTGCGAAAGGCAAAGGAGCGGAACCAGCACCACCAAAGAAGGCGGCAAAACCCAGCGAGGTAAAGGCACCTTCAACAGAGGAGCGACAGAGGAAGGAATTGAAAGCACAACAGGAGGCCGCGTTGAGCAAGCTGTTGGAATCAGATGAGGAAGGGAATGAGTCGGATGGCGAGATAGCAAAGTTGCGGCACATGGCGAGTCGTGCTGCAGAAACAGAGGACCCGGCGGATGAAGAAGACCAGACATCCAACCAAGTGGGGAAAACTGTCGATCATGATGTTATGGACGTAGATGATAATGGGAATGCTCCCCCAGCGGAACCTGCAGCAGGTACCATGACATGCACTAGCATATCGCCCAAACGATCTATTCACCTTTTGTTGTAGGCTCAGCGGGCACCACGCGGAGAGTCAAGAAACGACGACGCGTCAAAAAGACAAGGACTGTAATGATGGGCAAATACATGAGTAAGCACGATGATGTTAGCACTCTCGTCCTCTCGGAAACTGCTGCTGACGTTCCTACTCTCTAGAAACTGAAGATTATTCTGACTGGGAGGAATATTCTGAATCCGAACCCGAAATCTCTGGACCGCCAATTAAGAAGCAAAAGCCTCAACCACCTCCTACTGCCGCAGAAGTCCGTACTCAGCCAACCGAGCCACTACCAGCAAAGACGAAAGCCGGTGCAAGAGGAGGTGCACTGCAAAAGGGTGGGAAGAAAGCAGGTCAACAGAAAACGTTGCTGAGTTTCTTTGGTAAAAAGTAGAATAGACTTAGCGCTTACTTTATGTAGCTGGATGCATGTTGGTGGACCTCCCTTCCTTGTAAATAGCGAAACTCTTGTCATTTCCAACTGGTTGATCTGGTTGCTGACGGCATTTGTCCACGCCACACGCAAGCCCCAGATGACTCATCAGCAAGTACCGACTTGGAGTTCACCTGCAGTTCGCCGAGATCAGTGGGATCGTGTGTGCGTGATTGTGGGAAAAATGAGGTATTCATTGCACTAGGGTCCGTTATTTCGATTACATGTACTGACCTTATTCTCTCTCGTGTGCATTTCCAGGTTCGTTCTGGATGGTTTGCCCATCCTCTTCCCTTACGACTACATATATCCAGAGCAATATGCGTATATGCGGGATATTAAGCGAACCCTGGATGCTCAGGTATGAACGTCTAATGGAATGCAGAAACATGTTTTCTCAGTCTTGCTGTGGGATTTGGTATATTGACATATCAGCTTCATAACAGGGCCACTGCTTACTCGAAATGCCTTCTGGAACTGGAAAGACAGTTTCCCTCTTGTCCCTCATAGTCGCATATCAGCAGGTTGGTTTCCCTTTCATTGTATTGGCAGGACTGAATTCAGTGCGTATAGATTTCAAATCCCTTACACTCTTTGTTTATTTTCACTCTAGCATTACCCAGAGAAGCGAAAGCTGATCTACTGTTCGCGTACTGTGCCCGAGATTGAAAAGGCACTAGCAGAGTTGCGCAGACTGATGGAATACCGAAAGAGTCAGGGAATGCAAGAGAAATTTCTGGGATTGGGGCTGACTTCGAGGCGAAACTTGTGCGTGCATCCAGATGTATGCTCACAGTGACTTCTGTTTACTTGCACGGTTGGTCCATGGTGATTGCCGATCTTAAATTGCTTGCAAACTCTGTAGGTGAGCAGGGAAAAGCGCGGGACGGTGGTTGATGCAAGATGCAGGAACTTGACGGCCCCATGGGTTCGTGAACAGGCCAAGGCTGGTGCAGCCGGGGACATACCCTTGTGCAACTTTTATGAGGTGCGCCCTGAAATGATACTATTGCTGTGTGTCAGTTGCCGACGCATAACGGGAAACTCCATGCAGGCTCTCGAAAGCGCCGAGGAATCCGCCACAATGCCATCTGGAGTGTACACTCTGGAAGATCTTAAAGAATGGGGTCGGGAGAACGGCTATTGTCCGTATTTTCTCTCCCGGAGAATGGTATAATGGTTTTCTAATTCTGTTGCTTGCTTGACATACGTAACCAAACGTCCTCAAATAGATTGCATTCGCGAATGTCGTCATTTACAGTTATCACTACTTGCTTGATCCCAAAGTGGCGGAACTGGTATCGAAGGAGATGGCAAAGGACTGCATTGTGGTATTCGACGAGGCACACAACATTGGTAAATCAAAATCCAAAGGAAACTGTACTCCCAATCTAATGCGATATATGAGCAGATAACGTATGCACCGAATCTCTAAGTATGGATATCAGCCGACCTATGCTTGACGCAAGTGCACGCAGCGTGCAGTCACTTGCGACAAGAATAGATGAGTGCGTTCTCAATTTGAACGCTTCCTTGTTCGATATAAGATTGAACGTCTTTCACCTAGGTTGAAGCAATCCAATTCGGAAAAGCTGCAATCGGAATACACACGACTTGTTGAAGGCGAGCTTTATGCTTTCTGAGCGGCCTCTCTCGTATGCCTGTATTGACAGAGATAATGAATATTAGGGCTGCGGGCGGCACAAGAAGCAAGGGCAACCGATGAGTTCATGACAAATCCAAGTAATGGAAGCAAATATCTATATGCTTGAGCCATTCTTACGATTTTACGCTACAGTACTTCCCGACGACATCCTACAGGAGGCCGTTCCGGGCAATATTAGACGAGCAGAGCATTTCGTCGCATTTCTACGACGATTTATCGAATACCTTAAGGTTAGGAAACATCTCTCGATTCTATCCGGTGCTGTGCCCGTTATTCACCTTGCGATGCCAAAAGACGCGACTACGAGTTATGCACGTGGTGGCGGAAAGTCCCACTTCCTTCTTACAACACGTCAAAGAAATCACCTTCATCGACCGGAAGCCATTAAGGTGACATATGTTAAAATTTAATGGCATACCTCGAGCGCATAAGCTTAAACCGCAATGCTAGATTCTGCGCAGAACGGCTGGGATCGTTAATTCGGACTTTGGAACTGGCGGATTTAGCGGATTACCAGGCTCTTCAAAAGATTGCGGGGTTTGCAACTCTTGTGGCGACGTATCAAAAAGGTTGGCTTATCACGGTTGTCGCCCACCGGCGCATCGATACTAATGCTTGTCCATTGTAGGGTTCATATTAATATTGGAGCCTTTTGAAAATGATACCGATACCATCCCAAATCCGGTTCTTCATCTAACGTGAGTTATCATAGACAAGGTTCTACAGTAATAGCTTACTGAATTAGCTGACCTTTAGATGCCTCGACGCCACCATTGCAATTAAACCCGTTTTTGAGCGATTTAGCTCTGTAATTATTACTTCTGGGACGCTGTCACCCATGGAGCTATATCCCACATTGCTAGGGTTCCAGCCCGTGGTTGTCCAAAGTTACCAGATGACGCTGACACGGTCCTGTTTCTTACCCCTTGTACGTTTTGATTGAAGATCGTCTTACGACTGGTAATACATGACTCATCTCAGTTGCATCTGGCAGATCATCACACGAGGAAGCGATCAAGTCGCTGTCAGCTCCAAGTTTGAAGTTCGTAACGACCTAGCCGTCGTCCGAAACTTTGGCAATATCTTGATCGAGTTTGCCAAAATTGTCCCCGATGGGCTTGTTTGTTTCTTCCCTAGTTATCTCTACATGGAGTCCATTGTGGCTGCCTGGAATGATTTGGTGCGTGCGAAAGCTTTTGATCTTTCCACTGACTTGTGTCTTATGGGCTGGTCATTCTGACAGGGGATGCTACAAGAAGTCCTAAAGTATAAGCTGATTTTTATTGAAACACCTGATGCCGCGGAGACGAGTTTAGCTTTGGAGAATTACCGATTGGTACGTCAATAGCCTGTATTACTTAAAAAAAGAGGGAATCGTCTGAATTGCGTTCATGTAGGCGTGCGACAATGGACGCGGAGCCGTCCTTTTATCTGTGGCACGAGGGAAGGTTTCTGAGGGAGTCGATTTCGATCATAACTACGGACGTGCGGTGATTTTGTTTGGTATTCCATATCAATACACCGAAAGTCGTATTTTGAAGGTGCGCATAGCGTCCGGTATAAATTAGCCGAATATAGGGTTCTAAGCGAGCGCATGCGTTGGTACACAGGCCAGGTTGGAATACCTACGAGATAATAGCAAAATCCGAGAGAATGATTTCTTGACCTTTGATGCAATGCGACATGGTGCTCAGTGTGTTGGACGTGTCTTGCGTGGTAAGACGGATTATGGTCTCATGGTGTTTGCAGATAAGGTAAGCAGCCACGTCGTCATGCCAGTGAGGAGCATTACTGACCCATCGCAACCCTCGGAACTTCCCAGCGCTTTGCCCGTATTGACAAACGGAACAAGTTGCCTAAATGGATTACCGCGGGTATGACCGAGTCATGCCTCAACCTATCTACCGATATGGCTGTTGCAATGGCCAAAAAGTTCTTGCGAACAATGGCTCAGCCATTTGAGCATAACCAGGTTGGTGTATCACTATGGGACGCGGAGGAGCTACAAAAGCGGCAGGAGAAGGAGCGATTATCTGGGAAGGAGGCATCAGAGTCAGGCATTGTGGAAATGGAAGGGGTGGAGGTTAACGGGAACGGCACGAAAGTAGATGGGTAGCAGAAACAGATGGCTCCCGGTGGATACCAGGATTTTGTGGAGTCAGATTTGCATTCTTGCCGCATGCCGGCCAGAAATTGATATGGGTGCGGCCGAGAGGAGGTGATGCAACTTGTCTTGAAACGCATTGCGAGGTGTAAAGTCTGTCGGGTCAGTTACAATAATGACCAAAAGCATAATGGAACTCCATTTCCAATTCCTCACTGATGCAGCGCTGATGGAGTTTGGACGATGCAAATGAATGATATTAATTTACAATAAAAAAATTGACATGTCAGAAAAAATAATAATAAAACAGCCGAATATCCCGATCCCGTCAACCTATCCACAAGTTCGCTGTCTAAATTGGTGAATCCTGCGCTCTAGATGCTCTATAAAACCTCTTACGCACTCCACACACCACAACTCTACGTTCGGCCAGCTTGTTTTGGCGGTGCTGCTGTACTTTGAACATCTGCCATCCCACGGCCACATAATAATGTTCCCGCTCGTAATGAAAGCTGACTCCGTTCACCCTTCTCCACTTAGTCACTATGTCTCATCCAATAATCAATTGCCGCCGAGAATGCAGCGAACCCCACGCATCCCCCCAAAACCGCCTTGGGTCCCGCCTTCGCCGCCAAAACTCCACCAGTGATGCATCCAGCCGATACGCCATTCCATAGGTCGTTCTTTGCCCGATAGGTTTCAATCAAACATTCCGTGCCCGCGAATACGGCACCGACCACAGCAAAGTTTTTCGCAGAAGAGAAGGAGCGATTTCCCATATCTTTCAGGGTCACTTTAATCTGTTGTTTCGTCGACATTTTCTAAAAGGAACACATGGGTTGGTCCCGGTGACATATTACGTTGCCCGCCACGTAGTCCCAACTTTACCTGGAACTCTTCGGTATTCATACCCCAGTCCACCGATGACATGAACATTCCAAAAGCCCCTCCGAGTGCGAAACCTATAGGATGATGGCCGCACATTAAGAGACTTTACGATCGTCTTGCCTTGCTACAAGAATAAATGCACATACCAGCTCCTCCACTAAGTACCACCTTTGCGGGACATGACTCCATTACAGCCTGGGCTGCCATTGCTGTGGGATCCATGTTGGGAGACATGCCTCCTCCTGGCTGCTGTGGTTGCTGTTGTGAGGGATCCATTGCGAATTCGATTTAGTTTTTGGCCAATTGTCCAGTTTGGAAATTCGTTTTTGGGCCAAACGCTTCGTTTTAGTCGCGCGTGTTGTTGCCATGGCATCAACTGCAGTCATCGAATGGGTTTGCTGACCATCCAAACTTCCCGCTTGGTTTTTGCCAATTACCATTTTTATTTCACTGCCAAAGATGGTGTCGGGAGTACACACGGGTCAGGATTTGAGTGCAGCACTTGTAAAAACATGTGCAGAGGTAGGTTGCAAAGTTTTGCAGCAGTCAATGCTTGTAGCTCATTTATTGTCTGCTGCCTGCAAAACAAGATCGTGAACGAACTAGTTACGAGCATAAAAGCCGGCAAGGATGTCAACCTGAACGGAGTCAAGAGTCGCATTGCTCGGAAGCATAAACTGCACACTCAACCAAAGCTCGTCGATATTATTGCGGCCATCCCGGAACAATATAAGGCCATGTTGCTTCCTAAATTGCGGGCAAAGCCGGTCCGAACGGCGTCTGGGGTATGTCGCATAAGCAGTAATGTTTTGATTCGGTTGTTCAAAACTATGTCACCCTTGAATAGATAGCAGTCGTTGCCGTCATGTGCAAACCTCACAGATGCCCCCATATAGCGATGACGGGAAACATTTGTGTGTATTGCCCAGGTGGTCCGGATTCGGATTTTGAATACTCAACCCAATCATATACCGGATACGAGCCAACGAGTATGCGGGCGATTCGAGCGAGGTATAACCCATACGAGCAGGCTCGGGGGCGAGTAGATCAATTGAAACAGTTGGGACACAGTGTGGATAAGGTGGGGGATGTTGCAGTAACATTCCACTACCGGTAGGAAACATCCTGATTAAACTCGTCATTGCGCTTAGGTCGAATATATCATTATGGGAGGAACATTTATGTCATTGGCTGAGGACTATCGAAATTGGTTTATCGCAAATTTGCACGATGCGTTGAGCGGATACAGTAGCAGTGATGTGGACGAGGCTGTCAGGTAGTGCTCCCTTCCCACTCTCGTATTTCGGCAATGATATGTGTGGCTTATACTGTAGACAAGACTATCAGAGCAAAGCGAAACCAAATGTATAGGTATTACGATCGAAACCAGACCGGACTACTGCCTGAAACCACATCTCAGCCAAATGCTGCGATATGGCTGTACGCGATTAGAGATTGGTGTGCAAAGTGTGTTTGAAGATGTAGCACGAGATACCAATCGAGGTCACACAGTAAAAGCTGTCTGCGAGTCCTTTCAACTGGCAAAGGATGCGGGTTACAAAGTTGTGGCTCATATGATGCCAGATCTGCCGAATGTAGGGATGGAGAGGGATATGGAGCAGTTTAAAGAGTACTTTGAGAACCCTGCCTTTCGGTCGGACGGTTTGAAGCTGTATCCGACCTTGGTGATCCGTGGAACCGGGCTTTATGAGCTGTGGCGAACGGGTCGGTACAAGAACTACTCTCCCGAGGCTCTTGTGGATTTGGTAGCAAGAATTTTGGCTTTGGTTCCACCATGGACCCGTGTATATCGTGTGCAGCGGTGAGTGCCTGTGCTTGCCATCAAGTAGCCAAATTAGCCCTAACGATTGCCGTATTTCTGATGCAGAGACATACCTATGCCGCTGGTTACTTCGGGTGTAGAACACGGGAACTTGCGTGAACTAGCTCTGAACCGCATGAAGGATTTGGGTACTGAATGCCGAGATGTGCGTACCAGAGAAGTTGGAATCCAAGATATCCACAATAAAGTCCAGCCGGACCAAGTAGAGCTTGTCCGCCGAGACTATGTTGCGAATGGCGGTTGGGAAACATTCCTGTCATACGAAGATCCCCATCAAGACATTCTCGTTGGTCTATTGCGACTGCGTAAATGCAGTGATGCAGTATTCCGCCCTGAGTTAAAGGATGCGGGGCAGTGTTCGATTGTTCGTGAACTGCATGTGTACGGAAGTGTCGTCCCAATACATAACCGGGACCCCACCAAGTTCCAGCATCAAGGATTTGGAACACTCCTAATGGAAGAGGCAGAGCGAATTGCTAGAGATGAACACGGTAGTGTAAAGTTGGCCGTTATTTCTGGTAAGTCGCAGATTACGTTCACCAATCACGGCTGCTCTTACTGATTGATTCCTTTCTCTTTAGGTGTGGGCACGCGACACTACTATCGAAAATTGGGTTATGAGCTTGATGGACCCTATATGTCCAAGATGTTGGTGTAGATAGATTTTTCGACTGCTATTTTCAGGTTGTCCTGCATGTATATTAATTCAAACATCACGCCGCGAAAGCTTGGCAAGGGTATTTAATTGGCTTTTCAAAGCCTTGAATGAAGTAGGCTTTCTAGCAGGTGTGCAATGTCTGCGCGTGGAAAAGGGTTGCTGTGTGCCATGCTCTTGTGTGCGTTCCAAAGGCTTGTGAGCAGCAGGTCACTTTACGTAACATGCATCACACTGCCCGATGTGTATTTCGCAATGTATCAAACAGTTCTGCCCAAATGGCAAGAACTTGTCGAAAATATTTCAAAATCATGAAAATCGCCTTATTGGGGGATCTGCAACTCGGACGTCTTGTAAACGACAAACTCGCCTCCCTCCGCAAACGATATCCAGTTTCGCCGGCTCAAGATAATCTGGCGCGTTCCACCCTCTATGCCCCACCACTTCACAGCGAGTTGGCAGCAACCGATTTTTTGATTGGAAATTTAGAGTGTGCTGTGACGACCTCGATTTCCGCCTGGCCCGGCAAGACCTTTCATTTTAAAGTATCCCCTTCTGAGCTTGGTCGGGGCCTTCCCGACCATCCCAGGGTACATGTCAGCATTGCCAATAACCATGTCCTGGACTATGGCTACAGCGGCATGAGGGAAACGCTACAAACACTAACAGAAATGGGAATATCGCACGCTGGAGCTGGTATTTCCAAAGAAGACGCATTGCAGCCAGCATTTGTGGATGTGATCCAAGGTTAGATTTTTCCATCTGTATTGGTAGACATGATAAAGCTTACGCAGAGTGACCGTAATCGCAGGAAATGACACCTACAAGATTGCATTGTTTTCCATTTCGGATCATCCTGCAGAATGGGCGGCATGTGGAACACAGGAGACAACCAGGGGGCCCCATACTCATCCAGTTATTGTGAGTTCATCTTAGTCCATACATTTGATTCGTGATTATTGAAATGTAACTTTCACAGTATGGGGCACGCACTTCTTCCGATCACGGAGGAATCTTTCATTTGGATTTCGACACATTTCCTCCAATACCCGCGGATTCGTTTCGAATGCTGCAGTCAGCACTTGAGGATGCTAGGTCGCAGGCCGACATGGTTGTGGTATCCCTGCATTGGGGTCCAAATTATCAATGGAGACCAATGGCATCTTTCAAACTCTTTGCGCGATGGTTGATTGATCATGTACGAAAACGATCCTGTGCTGAAGGTTTAGGAGAACGGAGATGACTTTTTGACACTTAGGGAGTTGATATCATTCATGGGCATAGTGCCCATCATATTCAAGGTGTTGAGGTTTATAAAGGACGACCGATATTGTACAGGTCTGTTCACACTAGGCGCTACACTTATGATCGCGAGTACCTAATGAATGTACATTACAGTGCTGGGGACTTTCTGGATGATTACGCCGTCGACAAGCATTATCGAAATGACACATCCTTTGCGTTCTTCCTGTCGCTTTCTTTTGACCCTGTATCCCGAAAACCAAATTTCCAGCATCTCGATCTTTATCCTACCAAAATTCAATCTATGCACGTTGCTTACTGTGACGATGTAGATGAACGACGGGTTTTGTGTGATAGGATGAAAGCACTTTCTTTCGAAATGGGTACTGTTGTCGAGGACATTGATTTTGTCAAGGGGGAACAAGGCTTACGAGTTGGCGGATTTGGGGATAAAGAAGGCAAGGGCTGACGCTCGTTAACAGAAAGTTTTGCGCAGATCTCTTTTTGTTGAGCATGACTTATCCTTTGGGTTTTCGAGGAATGTAACCTATCGTACTTTCTTTTTATGATTACCCTTCCAAAGAAGCGATGAAACTCGCACATTTTCAGAAACTCATCCGTGCGTTTTCTTCCCCTTTGCACACCCAAACACGCAACATATGCCCTCATGCATACCATGCAACCGCTCTGCCCATTACCGTTCCCTCTTGACCAACACGTCCTTTCATCTCTGCATTACATATGTACAATTACTTCCACCATGATCATAGCCTTGCCAATGCAGTCTAGTGGTCAAAACCCTGGCTTCAGTGCCAGGCGTGGCAGTCTAATGGTAGAAGAGGACTGCGCATTCGTCAGCATTGATCGATGCTTACTAATCCGAGCGCCACGGTTGAGCCATACTGTGGCGGGAGCGACTAAATAACAAGTGGCCATTCGTCGTATAACTTGTGCTTGCTCTTTCATCTCTTTGATTAATCTGTCAACCGTCCATATTGCAACAATGGGTTGTGATGGTGGATCGATCCCTCGCCGAGATGAACTCGTAAAGACAAAAAAGGCAGCGGAGCGTGCTGACCCTCGTATACAGCTGATTGCGGCATGGTTCTTTTGTGCACTCTCAAAGCAGCCTCTCGCAGTTCCGGTTGTTGCTTGCGCTCTGGGAAAACTATACAATAAGGACGCTATATTGGAGTTTTTACTGAACAAGGGCGGATACGGTGACGGCGATCTCATTTGCAAACACATTACGTCTTTCAAGGACGTTGTCACACTCAACTTGACACCAAACCCTGCGTTCAAATCGAATAGTGATGCTGCAACCGTTTTAGGCAACATTGACGAGCGCCCGCTTGTCTCTCGATTCAGTTGTCCCATTTCGGGTCGGGAGATGAATGGAAACTACCGATTTTCTTACATTGCCACCTGCGGGTGCGTGTTTTCGGACCAAGCACTCAAAGAAGTTCCCAGTTCCACCTGCTTGAAATGCAACAAACCCTATTCACCTGAAGATGTCTTGCCGATTAATCCAACACAGGAGGACGAGATTGCTCGGCTCCAACAGCGGATGGAGACTTTGAAAGCTCACCGGGCAAAGGAGGCTGAGGAAAAGAAGAGGCAAAAGAAGGAAAAGAAGAAGAAGAGCAAAGGGGCTGAGGCAGATAAAACTGATGAGAAACCACTTCCTGCATTGCGTAGTAGTAGTGGTAGCGAGGGAGACAGCCCAGATACGGATGGGGCAGCTAAAAAGCGCAAGAAGAGCAAGAAAGAGCAGGACGAAGAGGACAGAGACTTGCACGTTGTCAAAAAGATGGCTACAACCGCGAGCAATATCAATATGCCTCTACCGGATCTCCAGGATCGCTCCCACCTTCCCCTGGCGCTACGAGTGCAAAGTGCTGCAATTAAGAGCTTGTACAAAAAGAAAGATGAGAAAGAGGATGTAAACTTTTTGACACGAGGGACGTTTAACCGCTTTGCTGCCACCTTTTGAAATGAATTCAGTTTTATGTGTTTGCCCATTGTTCTTGTATATAATTTAATAACGTAAAAAACAAAAAGCTTGCAGCCTGATACACACAAAAACGGTCGTAGTGAAAAATCATTAATAAGGCCATGTTTAAAATCATTGCCGGCATTTATCATAAACTTGATTCCAAGTACCATGTCTAAACTGTCCAGACTTGATGCAGCAACCCCCATGCAGATATCCTTTTTTATTGTGTTCATCGCTTGAAACGTCCAGTTACAAGAGCCAATAGCACCGAGATAATGACCCAAGGTTGGGACCACCGCAAAATATTCAATACAGCACGCAGAGCATTTGGCTTTGCCATCAAAGCTCGACCGGACGCGGAACGACGTATCAATGCAGATCGGTTTCCAGATACCGAATTGACCGTCCCATTCACTTTTGCTGGTTCGACGATCACTTTTTCGGTAGTTGACACGACGGCAATTTTAGCTGCCGGGGCTGCTGCAGTTGCGCTTCCGTCTTGGACAGCGTCGGCCTTTCCTCTTTGCTGGGTAGATTGTACCGATGACTTGGCTTCAGCTATTGATATCGCCTCCGATACAATCTTTTGATTCTCGATTGCCCTTAGGATCTTGTTTGCCTTCCTCATTCCAACGGGGATAACCTTTTGGGTCACCATGCTCACAACCCCCTTTGGGAGCCATCCGCCCAGGTCGCCATCCACAATTTGCACTACCCGGCATACTCGAGGGCGGCCTTGTGGGTCCGGTTCAACGATTTGACCAGCAATCCGTGCACGCATGCACACGTCGCCGCTATCAGGTGTGAATTTTGGATGGGAATCGATGGATTGTGTGACATTAAAGTAGCGATTATTAGGAAGAAGCTTGGTAAAAGCGACGACGAGCGCGTAACGCGGCTTTGTGGGCCACATTCCTTGTGTGCGAAAGTACTAGAATGCACCTTTACGATTAGCTACCACGCTACAGTCAAGGCACTCGAAAGTTGCGACCAACCTGAACAATGGTACGATTGGAAACTCTCTCCACGACATCACCCGCTTGGCATAGCTCATCCCATGCCGGTCGTTTTCTAATGTCCGCCAATAAATCAAATGTTTCTTCAGGGGTTCCTTCGAGAGTCATAACGTAGCGAAAAAAGAATTCATGTCCAACCCGCTTATGAATTTCAATGTTGTAGTTTCCCCAGCTTTGTGTTAATGTTGTGTGCCAGTCTACATTGTCGGCACCTGGTGGACCGGACGGCGACTCTGTAGTGTCGCATAGGGAGAGAAATTCGGCTTCAAGAGCGGGAAGCGCTGATATATACGGATCGGATGAGTCGGAAACTGCTGCTTCTGTCACGGACGGAACAGTCGCGGTAGTGTCTTGGTCGTCGAGAGCATCCGATTCCAGTTCCTCGTATTCCTCTTCTTCCCCTTCTTTCTCCATCTCCCCGTCTACAGAAACCTCCTTGTCTATTTGTGCATTGGTCCCTACAAGACCCTCAACCAACGTGGGGACACCTAAAAGACGAAAAACACCCAGCGCGAGAAAACACAACACCGCAACAGTAGCGAGATCAGGAACATTTCCTTGGGTATAGTAGGTGACGAGAGCTGGACACGCCACTGCCGCCCCCAACACCAGCAGATTGACGAGAACGGATACCACAGACGGCATGTCGGAGTTGGGGATTTGAGGTCAGTCTAGGAGCGAGTTTTTTAAAAATGGTCCAAGTCCCTGGGGGGGGGGGGGGGGGGGGGGGGGTTTAAAGGGGAAGATCAAAGGAACGCGTGAGCGATCGGGTGTGACTTTGGGGACAACGATGCCCCGAGGGAGAAATCAGGATTTTATAACCCTCATTACCCTCGGCAGGGTTTGCTTTTGAGATACGGCTAACCTTCTAATGACGTTGGATATTCGCAAAGTGCACGCCCCGCATCGTCGCCATTAGTTTGTCGCGGGTATTAGGAAACAAGATCACCAGGGTTTGGCCGTTCTTGCACAAATCTAAAGTAAAATGTCGTATTCAAGTTTATCTGCAGCTGAGCGAAAGCATCGCACAATTCGTAAAATGGTAAACGTCCCAAAGGCCACTATCTCTATGCAGGCAGCACACATAGCGACAGGTCTTGTTTTGGTAACCAAAGACTGTAAAACGAACCATAGGGGTGATCTGTCTGCCTCTTAATGTGTACAAGAGTGACAATGTATAGTGAGCATAGGCATATCTGGAATTGATGTGATGGAGGTCGTCATGGCAGTGCCGGTGCCAGGCCATTGACTAGAGTTTATATATTCCAAGTTACTTACACGACGACATTTGAAGTGTGACTCGCCAACAGATGCCTGATGGACGTCAATTAACATCTAGGTTATGGCCATTCATTTGTTCACAGAAGTAGACCAACTGAGGAAAAACAAAACGCACCAATTATCATGCAAAGAGAGAGCCGATGCCGGCTGTACAATATTGGTTTTTAATATGCTACATGCAAAAGTCTGAAGGTATCGGCAAGCCTTCCCTATACATAAATGCGATTCGCTTGACCAGCCGTACTTTCAGTCGGACAATAAGGGCACTTGAACCTTGTGTTCTGACTTCCCTTACCCAACCTATCCAAGCAACACTTGCAAATAACATGTCCACAAGCCATCATCATTGGTGGATTCTCTTCGGTGCTCTGCTCTTTACTGACAGGGCAGGCAAATACGGAATGGTACCTCTGAGAACTGAGTAAAGGAATCTCAACGGGTAGCTCGCCAGCTTGAGACCACTCAAGTCCGGATTTGTCTTTCATAATCGAAGACATTTTTATGATGGTGGGAAGAGCGAGCGTGCCAACCATGACGGAAACATAGAGGGGAGAGTCAGACGAAAGACCGAGAAGTTGACAAAAGTCTCGGGTGAAGCGGTGTTGAATGTCGATCCAGGCATGAGGATCGAGAAGGTCGGCGTAGGGAGAGTCGGAGAGGCGATTGGAGTAGAGGAACGAGCACATCAGGCGCTGTATTTCTGGAGAGTGAAAAGATGTTGATGCGCTGATTAACATTGAACACTGTTCCACATTGTTGTACCTTTCATTTGCGACACAGCAAACCTTCCAAAGTTTGCTTTGGCATAATTCAAAGCGGTCTCAGGCTGCCCATTTGTCAAGAACTGCATAAATTGCAACTTGAGGAGCTGGAACTCCAGCCCTGAAGACTTTCTTTGTAGCTCTTCACGATGTGTAGCAGCCCATCGTATGGCCGGGTCCAATTGTCCTGCACGCATTGCTTCCAGTATCTGGTACATTTCGGCAAACTGTTCTTTCAGGTGCTCGGGAACATTCATCTCGGCTTCCTGTATAAAAGTCTCTGCGAGATTGAATCGCCCTTCCCGAATGAAATGCATCGCAATTGTCCTGTTCATGACCTCCTCCTTCCCATCAAACGCTCTCGGATCCCATATGTTGTTCAAATCCGTTTTAAAGGATCCTCGGAGGGTCTTATCATGGCGCATTGCCAACCGCCGAACGTCTTCCTGCTGTGACGACAATGACTTTGAGGTAGCAGCTGCTTTCTGTTTCAAAAGGGCCATGGTTGAACTGAGGGATGTTGGGTCAGACTGGATGGCTGTAGCGGCTTCTGTGAAGGCGTTTACGAGGGTTTGGAGAATAGTGTCGACTTCGGTAATGGACGCATGTTGCTTTTGGGATACTTTTTCAAAGTCCGCGCCAATGCTTTCCAGAGTATCCATTCTTGGGTGATGGCCGTCTCAGCCTGTCGGAGGGGATGCTAATGGTGGTCCTGCTCTTCTTTTTCTTGCAAACCAAAAGCGTAAATTACACCTCAATCTGCACGTTTGTCAATCTCGTCTCGACCTTAAAGTTGTTAACCTTCTTGATGGGTCACGAACGCGTCTTTGGGGGGGGGGGGGGGGGGAGCAAGATAACGTCAGATTTTGGGACTGTTCTGCCAACTCATTTTGAACGCATTTTGGAGAAACAGCGAAAAACGCAAATGGCTTTAGAGCTTCCACAAGAGTTTGCACTGCAGGGACATACTGGCGCTTTCGTTTCCAACAGCGGCAAGAGCCATACAGCTCAAATGTCCGAGTCGCGTTGTTCCTTGACGTCAAGAGCAACACATGAAGGCGTGCCCCTTCTCTATGCAGTCGACTCGGATACTCCTCTCATTTTTGAGGACGAAAATCTCAAGTACGTTGCCGAATTGCATGATTTGGGAAACGGGAAAGTGTGGTGTTTGAAGGCAAGAAAGGTCCGTTCGGGGCAAAAGGATCACGTTCTGAAAGGCGGAGACGACACAGGTTCGTTCATTGGCTACGAACTGGAAGAAAACCTGCGTGTACGAGACAAGTGTGAAGCCATGGAGGTAAGATCTCTATGGATGGACAGGACCCTAATTGATTGTTGACCCTTTTTCTAGTCGTTTAAGCTGGTAAAGGTCTGATCGTCCCTCATATCGACCCGGAGCGTTAGCAATATAGGGTCATTCTTGTCTGTACGACACTGTGGTGGGACCATTGGCCCTTGTTAGGATTGAGAATGTAGATTAGAAGCACCCGGGCAGAGCTTTGGCACAAAAGAGATACCATCGATAGTAAATAGTATTTCATTCATTTGGTAAATCAGTTGCATCGAGACTGCCGGTTCTTTACAAATAACAATGTGGAGAAACTTGAAGAGACAGAGCAACCGTAACCCTTTTGTACTTGGCCGACACGGTTTCCTTTCAGTATGGATTTGCCAACGTTCGTTCAGGGCGAATGCGGTCCTCATCTTGCAGCAAGGCGTGTGTCGCAGTTGGAGAGGAGACTTGACGGGCTAACCATCAGAATCCGACTTGCTAGTGATAGCGTCGTTGAAATGCATGTAGATTGGCTGAGACGTTTAAAGCTAGCAAGAAGCTTTCCTCGTTAGAATTGAAGATGCCATTGTTTCAATGTCTCAAATATATGTTCATGTTAAAACGGGCAAAGAATATAGATAGCGTAGCGTTCTTTCGGATACAGTAAAATATCGTTTGAAAGATCAACAGTAGAGTTGAATGCACTCTGAACGTTCTCGAGAAATATCTGGTCAGCTTCTACCGTTTGACGAACCTTGATGTGCGTTGAAGGCAAGTCGCTCAAATTGATGACTAAGCATGAATTCTTTTTACCACGTGACATGCTGTTCTCGTTGCGAAACTCATCGTCCTCGAGCTGCACATTCGCAAAAGAGCCATTACCATCCAGCCGACCTTGTACTATCACGAGAGCATAATGCCCCACCACAAGTCTTCCTACACAGCCCGTGCGGCGTCATTTAAAAATCCAACTGCAAGCCGCCTTCTCAAACTCATGGACGAAAAACAGACCAACTTGTCCATTGCCGCAGACGTCACGACGAAAGCTGAATTATTAAAGTTGGCAGACGTTTTGGGACCGTACATTTGTGTGTTCAAGGTATATACACACATACATACATTTGTGATGCTTTATGAAGATGGGATACGGGAGCCCGACTGGGTTTTTCTTGGTTGGCCATACTGACACCTATACTACTGTAGACGCACATTGATATTGTGACGGACTTTGATCAAGATCTGATCAAGCAACTTGAAGCACTCGCTCAAAAGCACAATTTCCTCATCTTTGAAGACCGAAAGTTTGCCGATATTGGTATGTTGTCTATGAAAGATCTTTTAGAACACACATAGACGCTTGATGTCAACATTTGTCCCTGTTTGCTCACCTCTCAGGCAACACTGTCAAACACCAATATTCGCAGGGAGTCTATCACATTGCTTCATGGTCTGATATTACAAACGCCCATCCACTTCCCGGAGAAGGCATCATCAAGGGGTTAAAGGAAGTCGGCCTGCCACTGTCGCGGGGATTGTTGCTTCTTGCTGAAATGTCGTCAGCGGGGTCCTTGGCCAAAGGTGCCTACTCTGAAGAAGCTGTCCGCATGGCGCGAAGGAATAGAGATTTCGTAATTGGATTCATTGGACAAAGACGATTGTCCGTTCCCTTGGACGCTGGGCAAGAGCAAGAGGACGATTTCCTCTACTTGACTCCAGGTGTCTCCATGGCGCAACCCGGAGACTCATTGGGACAGCAATACAGAAGTCCGGAACAAGTCATCTTGGAGAGCGAATGCGACGTCATTATCGTTGGAAGAGGTATCTACGGAGCTGCAGATCCCGTCGCAAAAGCAACAGAATACAGAGAGGCCGGTTGGGCTGCCTACCAAAAGCGTTTAGGGGTATCACAATAATATTAAAACGACTGCTATACATATTTCCCACCCATTAGAATATACATTTCCCCACTGCAATATAATATCCATTTCCGATAAACCCCACACCGTTGATAATAAACCCCACACCGTTCATAATAAGCGCCATGTCCGTCAACCTCAAAACTCAAACTTTCAAAACCCTCGCTCATAATTTACCTACATCATACCCTCAGTAAGGACTCTGATAGGAATACTTCTTTGGGCTGCGCGGACTGTAAGGTTGCGCATTAGGTGCAACATTCTCACTGTTCTCATAATACCGCCTCTGCTGACCAACCCAAGCCTGTACGGGGTCCTGACGCTCATAATTTGAAGGCTCACCCTGCCTTGATAAAGAATAAAGGCTTGTAGAAGGAGAAGAAGTATGATAGAGAGCCACCTTTGGGCTGCTCTTAAAAGTTACTCGACGTGGAGTAACAAGCGCGGGTTCGGTGTCTCCCCGCGTCTCAATGTCGAATTTCCGCTGAGGAGGGAAATTCTCCAACTTTGACATGTCTTGTGTGTATTCATGCAGGACTTGTCCAGCTATAATTCGGTTGTCCTTTATATGTCTGTCATACGTGTCCACCAGGAAATGTTGCTAGAGGGACGTTTGCGCATCAGTTCTTTGCACTATTCAATTCAAATATATAGATTGTACTTACGAAGACTGCGCAGAGAAAAACTACGGGTATGGTACTTCTCCAGGTTTCGAACGTGATATTATATAAAATCGCCAATTGCATCGGCGAACACGAACTGATATAGATCGCAACATCGTCATCACAGCAGAGAAGCACATTATTACAACTTGAACATACCAGAAGAGACTGATTCCAAAATCGGTCGGGTCCCAGACCGTTAATTGCCACACGCGCCTGAGGTTTTCAGGCGAGGGAACTGCTACTGGCTTCTTCCAAAATAGGATCCTACCAGAGACTAATTTAGCGCAGAAACGATAATGATGGAAGCATCAGAGAGATACATACTTGTCCTTCCAAGTACGAGTTGGTTGCTCATGGGGGGCTTGTTCATCTTCATAGTCGGCAAACACCGCACCGGTAACGTCGACAGAGACAATCTTGGCGTTCGGCGAACCGATGAGGTTAAGGGAACCAGTAGGCGCCCGGAAAAGGAGGAGTTTCTTGGACCGGCGAAACGTACAAACAGTGTTGAGCATGCAAAGAGCCATAATGGCAAACTCGGCCACGGATACCTGAAGGCGGATGATGAACGATGTTAGGAGGCGCTTGCCAGCATCAGCACAGAGACAGCACAATGGAACGCGTACTTACTTTGGTATCAGTGGAAGTAGGCGCGCGGTATTTCTCGTAAGGATCATTCCTAACATCGTCCTGATAGAGCTTGAGCCCAGCGAACACAACGTTGAAAAGAAGCGCACAAAGAAAGGCCTGAGGAGAAACCAAGAACGGCATTGTAAAGTAGGTTGTAGTTAAAGGTTGGTAAAGGGTGTTGGTAGGTGATGTTATTGGTAGATGAAGGTTGGGATCAAGGAGTGATCAGTAAAGAAAAAAGGAGGGGGGGGGGGGGTCGGAACGAACGCGAATTTATAGCGCAGCAATGTCCAGATCATGTGACCATCATTAATTTTGAATTTGTTTTGTCCGAAATTTTAGTTTTCCAACAAACGTTCAACCATTTGAACAAATGTCAAAGGACGCACCACCACCAACAGAGCCGCAACATGACCCAACAGCACTCTTGACGCAAGCCAACAAGGCTCTCGATGACTGCCACCCTGACCTTGCTCGGAAGTTTCTCCTCCGTGCCTTGGAACTCCAACCCAACAATGTGGACATACTCGAGAGTCTCGGGGTGGCAGAAATGGAGGACATGACAGCAGCAGGCGAAGAAGGGGAAGAGGACCGTGTGGGGGAATGCGCAAGGCGTGCCAGAGAATACTTCTTGCGCGCTGCTGAGCTCAGTCCTGGTCAAGGGTATGCAAAATATCTCTATTTGGGGCAGTTGAGTGAAGGGAAGGAATCGTTAGAGTTTTACGAGAATGGAGTGGAGGCTTTGGAAAAGGCACTTGCTGAAGTAGCTGGAAACAAAGAGGAGGTGAGGTGAAAAGGTCGGTGACGATCTTACGAGCTGGGCTTGACAATGGTTATGATCTTAAACAGGAAGCGATTATACGAAGGAGGCTTTCAGAAGCACTATGTTCGATGGCAGAGATCTACATGACAGATTGCTGGTAAGGCCCATTTTTCCATTCGTAGCACTCTGTATGAATGCGTTCGCATTCCTAACGAGTCTCCCAGCGACGAACCAGAAGCCGAAGCATCCTGCGAAACATTCTCCTCCAAAGCCATCTCCTATGATCCCACCAATCCCGAAGCCCATCAAACCCTCGCTTCCGTTCGAATGTCCCAATGCCGTCCCGACGATGCCCGCAAAGCAATAGAAACTAGTATGGATATATGGATCAACAGTGCCGCCCCTGGTGACAAAGACTGGCCTGTCTATCCCGCTCGGATCGCCTTGGTCAAGGTATTATTGGAATTGTCGCTACATGAGCGTGCCTTGACAGTACTACAGACGATTCAAAACGAAAATGACGAGGATCCTGAAGGGTGGTATTTGTATGGTTGGTGTTACTATCGAATGGGGGGTGGTGGAGAAGAGGATGAAAAGGTCGTTGATCTTGCTGAGAAGGCAGAGTGCTGGGACAGTGCGAGGGAATGCTTTGAAACTGTTCTTCAGGTGAGATTGTATTGCAACCGGTTCCTAGATCTATGATTATGCTAATCGTTACGATTGTTGGACAATCAGCTCCATGAACGATATGGCGGCGCGGAAGAAGAGATGGTGGAGCATACTTCACAGTTGTTGGAGCAAATATTACAATTTTTGGCAGTACATGGCGTGGACAATGCAAATTCAATGCAAGTTGAAGACGAAGGCGACGAAGCAATGGAACTGTAACTTAGGGCTGTTATGCCAATTCATTCTCACGGGCACACACAGCATATGCGCTTATTAGATGCATTTAATATATGGACATTTCACATGCCGTGTTCAGATCTATGTAAAATTGTGTACAAATTGCAATGCCCGTCCATACTCATGCCCGCTTTGTGCCTGCCTTTGCACTTTGGGGTTGTTCCGCCAACACCTGCGTCCCTGTTTCTGTCCTCTCGGGTTCACCGGGTTTGTCGCTTCCCTTCACCCGCTCCTCCTCCTCTTCATCATCATCTTCATCGTCTATCTCTTCCCCATAAATCTCTGGGTGCTCCCTAAAGCATTTCTGCATTTCCCTGAAAGCCTCGATACAATCTACACCTTTTGGCTCCTCCTTTGAATATACAAAACAGGAAAAGGCAGCTTTGAAGGCTTCGCCGCATGGTGGTTTTGTCATGTTTTCTAGACAAGGGCAGTCCCAATTTATCTCGCCAGTTTCTGGGTCATACGCTTCTTCTTGGGCATCGGCAGGGTTCGTCGTGGGGTTAGGTTCCTGCGATGGTGCGGGAGAGGAATCTGAGGGAGGAGGGGTGGATGATCGTTGTGTGCTAGACATGTTGTTGTTGATGTGATGGCGAAATCCTTGTTGGAGATCTTTATTTTATTTCTTTTTGAACTATTTGTAATGACCTTTCAATACTCTCCGATGTCCCCATCGCCATGGCAACACGCGCAGCTTCTGATGAGTCATACAAGTCTTACGTTAGCTACCCAGACTTATCGTTTACCTCGCTTGCAAACCACGATCTCGACACCCAATGAACGGTGTCCACGCCTCCACATTTGCTACGGCTTACCTGGACTCACTCGACATTCCCGATGCAACGCCTCTCAGCAACTGGTCATGTTCCTTATCCCCCACCGACGACTCGACGCGTCACGCCGTCGACACAAGTCATGATCTCCATATTAGCAAAGACGATGTACGCGCCCAACTTGTCACTATGGGATACGAGCCCGATGCACTGCCGGATAAAATGTTGGACGAATTCATAGAGGAGCTGAAGAGGGCTTATCGGACAGAGTTGGGTGAGTTTTTGGAAGAGGACGACGAGGACGACGAGGATAAGGACAGTCTCAGTACGGAACCGGACGAAACAAGTCGTTTGGAGAGACCTTACTATCCGTACGTGCGACCGGTGGATGACAAGAAAGGATATTGGAATGAGAAGGCTTCATTACAGAAAGTTTCAAGATCACCCTCTCCCCAAAAAACGCCTGAACGCAAAGTGCGTGAAGCGCAGACCACCACACCCCAACGCCAAATACAACGCCACGATAAACCTTCTGACGAATCCACTGAATACGACACCACACAAACGACTTGTAGCCCAGCAACACACCAAATGAACGTGATAGAGCGACTGGCGGCTTTGGATCTGTCTAATGTCAGACGAACCGTTTCGCATCAGCGGCAAAAGGAGAAAAGTGATACACGGCATGCGCCAGGAGAGGAAGAGGCTGTGGATGACGACTTAGAAGATGAAATTGTACGTGCTTGCATCAGTAAAAGTATTTTAATGAAATGCCAATCGTGTGTCCAATGAGCAGAGTGACGATCTCTATGATTCCGAGGAATATGCGTTACGAGATTCAACGAATTTCTCGTCTTTTGAAAGTGAATACTACGAGCGACCGCGTTACCGCACCGGATGTAAGCCCTAGCAGTCCTACTGATTAAAAAAAGTGTAGGCACTCATTCTTGTAACAGTTATTCGCGCTCAACCCCAACAGCGACCTCGCAAACACGATCCAGTCTCCCGCTTTCACCAACATCAAGCCGAATGGCAACGGGATGTGTTTCTAAGACGATTAGGGAATCCTGGAGCTCAGAGGCCTGTGGCTGTTGTCGGTAGTACTAAAGTGTCTAGACCCATGAGTGGGGGATTGGCATCCCAACGACCTCGACATAATCTGGCGGCGTTGCGACCTACATATGGTAAGGCGGAGCGTTTCAGTTCCGATTTTTCACTGATTGTCTAAAGTTACGTATCTTCTCTTAGTTGTACCTACCACAAAAAAGAGAAGTGATGTAGTATGGGATGTGAGGAATCGACTGGCGCTTAAAAGTCAGACTCTATAGTGTGAGCGCCGGAGCGATCTCATGTATATATGATAATGTACGGGTTGGATGATATTGCTACATGCATTATATAGAGAGGTACTTGATTTTTGAGGCACACTATTACTGCTCCAAGAGCCCACTCTGTGCCAAAGAGTCCACAAACTCAACGTTCCCAAGTTTTTTCAAGTCTTGCAATCCTTCTTCAGGATCGTGATCTTCCTCCGTCTCACTTCCCACTTCAGATGCTGTGGCATCCTTCCAGTCCAGCGAATTGAACGTCGGTGTCCGTATCAATCCAAGTCCACCACTAGTTGATGACGTCCTTCTGCTTGATTTCCCAGATCCCGGTGATCCATTCCCGTGATTACCTCCAATGACTCCAGGAGCACTCGCCACCCTTCCGTTCATGCCAGGTGCCACCCCATTACCCTTTCTCTGCACTCTCCTCTGAACCCGAATAATCCTACCTACAAACGGCGCCAGCCTTTTTATAACATCATCACAACTATCCACATGCACATGCGGCTCAATATGACGCACAATGTGAGCTTTTCCCTCTTCTGTCGAACAAAAGACCACACGCCGGGCATCGAGGCCTGCTGTGTATAATCCAGAGGAATGGAGTAACGTCCTCACTTGAGCTTCTTCTTGATCGGACGTGACGACCATGATGAGATGGACTTGATTGGAAGGGTTGGAGACGAGGGAATGGAGGAATGGAAGTGCGGATTCGCGGAAAGCGTGGTTCGGGGTTGTTGGATCTGGTGATGGGTTCCAGACAACAATCTGTTGGAGCGATCGTTCACCCTGGTGAGCAAATGGAAAAACGGGAGACACCCACACACAGACACACAATACACACGTTTTTCATAGAAATGGTCATGACTCGTCTCCCTTTCAAGATTCTCTTGGCGACATCGACCACCGTCGTTGATCCTCGTCGAGACGCTGAACGTGAAGACGCTCTGGAATCGCCAGAGGTGACTCCGTTCGGAGGTTGCGAGTCGGTGTCTGCCTGCTTTGCTCTTCGGGACGACCAAAAGTAGTATGCACTGCCCAACAGTGTTGCAAAGGCAACGAGAGCTCCTGCTCGTGCCCAGAGTGTGGAACGGCGTGATGTGCGTACAGACATGATGAAAAAAAGAAAGGTCAATGGCTCAACGACATGCGCAATCTTCCCCCCTCCAAAAATCAAATACAAGATGAAATCATCGTGTGATCCTTTTTGCACGAGCTGGTTGTGGATATAACATCAGGGTAGTCACATGACAGATGCACATCCCTTTGTGAATAAAAACAAATGCAATTCTTGGTATTTTTACATGACGGATTTCTTTTTTACATATTGAAAATCTACCAATCCATCTTTGGCTTTTGCTCGACAAACGGTTTGACAACCTTTCCACGGTACCCCACACCATCCAACCACGGCCACTCTCGGCTTCTCTTGCCTTCAAATACCTTGATGAGAGCATCCTTTTGCATCGTGAGGCCAATGTCATCCAACCCATTTATCAAGCAGTGCTTTGGGAATTCTTCAACCTTGAAGGGAATCTCTTCACCATTTTCACGTCGAATGACTTGGGCAGGTAGATCAATTTCCAAGTGTTTCCCTTCTTGTGCATCAGCCATCAGAATAGACACAGTGGCTGCAGGAAGAGGAATAGGCAGCATGCCATTCTTGAAGCAATTGTTAAAAAAGATGTCGGCAAACGATGGGGCAATAATACACCGGATTCCAAAGTCTTGCAGAGCCCAAGGAGCGTGCTCACGACTAGACCCACAACCAAAGTTCTCTCCAGCAACCAGAATGGACGCTTGTGTGTAGGGTGGCGTGTTGAGGACAAAAGTCGGGAGGGGAGTGTTGGTGGCAGTGTCATATCGGAGTTCGTAAAACAAGGATTTTCCGAGACCGGTACGTTTGATCGTCTTTAGGAACTGCTTAGGAATGATCATGTCCGTATCAACGTTAGACATGGGCAGAGGCGCTGCGATGCCCTTCAACACGGTAAACTTGGGCATTCCGCCCGCGGACCCCGTAATAGGTGCAGTAACTGTCGTCGTGTCACTTGTCTCTACCAATTCTTGCGTGGCTGGCGTCAAAATATCCGTGCCCAAAAATTCCTTAGAGTCGCGAACCGTCACAGTAATGTTTAGCTGGCTAGCGGGGGCGGATCCGTTCAACAACTCCCTCACATCCGCCAGGTGTCCTGTAACCGCGGCTGCAGCGGCCATGGCCGGACTTACAAGGTGGGTACGGCCCTTAGGTCCCTGCCGTCCCTCAAAGTTCCGATTTGAGGTTGATGCACAGCGCTCCAAAGGCTTGAGCTGATCGGGGTTCATTCCTAGACACATGGAGCAACCGGCCTCGCGCCAATCAAAACCGGCTTCGATAAAGACCTTATCCAAGCCTTCCGCTTCAGCCTGTTGCTTGACAAGCCCGGAACCAGGAACGACCATAGCGTGGACATTCGGGGCGACCTTGCGTCCGTAAGCGATACGCGCAGCGGACCGCAGATCCTCAATTCGTGAGTTTGTGCAAGAGCCAATGAAAACCTTGTCAACGGGGATGTCGGTCATCTTCGTGTTGGGTTCCAGGCCCATGTAAGCCAACGCCCTCTCCATAGCCGCCCGTTTTCCAGCGTCTTCAACCTTTGAGGGGTCCGGCACATTTCCAGTAATGGCCACCACATCTTGCGGACTCGTCCCCCAAGTCACAGTGGGAATAATTTCTTGTCCGTTGATCTCGACCTCAATATCGTATTTTGCTCCAGGATCCGATCGTAGAGATCGCCAGTATGCGACTGCAGCGTCCCATTCTTCACCGGCTTTTGGAGCAAGAGGACGTCCTTTTAGGTATTCAAACGTGATTTCGTCTGGGGCAATCATTCCAGCTCGTGCACCAGCCTCAATGGCCATATTACAGATGGACATGCGCGCTTCCATGGACATGGATTCCAGTGCCGACCCGCAAAACTCAATAACATGTCCTGTACCACCAGCCGTACCAATGACACCAATAATGTGCAAAATAACATCTTTTGAGTTGACTCCTTCAGGCACTTCACCATTGACCCGAATTCGCATGTTCTTTGACTTTTTTTGAAGAATAGTTTGTGTAGCAAGAACGTGTTCCACCTCGGATGTACCAATACCAAAGGCAAGAGCACCGAAAGCTCCATGGGTCGAAGTGTGCGAATCGCCACAGACGAGGGTAGTTCCTGGCAGAGTGAATCCCTGCTCAGGACCGATAACATGAACAATACCCTGGCGTTTGTCACTCAAGCCAAAGTATGTAACACCAAATTCGGCGACATTTTCTTCCAAAGTTTGACACTGAGTGCGGGATTCAATCTCATCAACAAATGTGGCAATGGATTTGAAATTCTACAGAGACGCAAGTTTAACAACCACTCATCAGACTACCAAGTTATGCACAAAAGCATACCTTACGATTCCCAGTCGTAGGAATATTGTGATCGACGGTCGCCAGAGTCAAGTCACCTCTTCGCACCTTCCTTCCAGCATTCCTCAAACCCTCAAAGGCCTGAGGAGAAGTGACCTCGTGCACAAGGTGACGGTCAATATATATCAAACAAGTTCCATCCGGCATTTGTTCGACAACATGATCGTCCCATATTTTGTCGTAGAGCGTACGTGGAGTAGGTGCCTAGTTTATGAGCATTAACCATAAGCAACAGGAGAGGATGAAGAGTGCATGCTTCACGTACCGAAATAGTCATAATGGGCAAGATTGTGGTAAAGAGTCTAGGCGGAGGGTATTGGTCGGCCTATACAGAGGCAGCAGATGAAAAGTGCAGATCACAAGGTCTCGCCGTCTTTTATGGAACATTTCGGCAATTTGAAATCTGGACACGTGATCGATCAAGATCTTATCAGTGATTCATATGTGGCGCAGCGTATGGTGAGTCGTCAGCGGAGTTTTGTCTTTCGCAGGATTCATCTGAAATCGTTTGCTTCTTATGGCTTTGTTGTCGCCTGGAGCATGTGCGCAAAATAAATAGTCACCAGGAAAACGACATTAAGAGATAAAGCAACAGGCTGGGTTTCGAAATTGCAATGCGCAATACAAAATCTTTTGTGAAACGGATTGGAAACAGCGCATAAACCAAAAGATTGTACTATTATCTTGACTAAAAGAGTATCTTCCTCACCCCCGAGTTTTCCAGCTACCAAGCAATATATACAGTTAAGCAGAAAAAACATACCCCACCGAAAACAGTCCTAATGGGTCACTTCTAAAGATAACAGTGAGTTGTAGTATACTCCCTCACATTGGGATTCACCGTATAGCTCACCTTTGAATGGTCACCTCCGCACTCTGGACAATACCATTTGCCCTTGGGAGGGGCCGATAGTCCAACGCAAGCGTAATGGAACCATTCGATAGGGCACTAGAGCAAGAGAGCAAGGGATATTGTTGGGTGAAGAGAAGAAACGTGTTTAAGGAGCAGTGAAACACTTACGTCGTCATTATCGCACTAATTACCATAGTGAAAGGAGGAAGCGTTATGCTACATCAAATAGACAGGTATCAAGCTCCAGAATACTCTTACCGCTAAAAAAGATGAAAACATGGTTAAACCCGCGTTGACAGTCTCCAGAGCAAAGCAATGCAACCTTACCAATCATGTCTCCAAATGATACTTGGTTACATATGCAATACGTAGGCTCATTTGGATCAATCGGCATATCAAGCACATTTGTCTTGTCCTTTGTTTGCTTTATTTCGCTGCTGCTACAGTTGAAATTTCATCTCTCGTCAAAATAAAGGACATTTGCATGATGAACGCACCCTTTCCTCTCCTTTTTTGCATGATGTTGGGTAACTCTTCGGGTCGAGCTCGTAGCGGTCTTTATGGTTTGAGTCCTCTTGGGAGTTTCCAATGCATCCCTCGCCTTCTCACGTTCATCAATTGTTTTGTTCTTTTTATACTCTAAATGCAGTTGAAAAATGATGAGAGAAGACGGCCGACAAATATAAGTCTTCTTTAGCTTACTCTTTGGAGTTTCCATAGAAGATGCTGCAAAGTAAATGGGGTTTGTCAATACGGCTTACACCCAGACGCAAAACCAGGGACCAAGGCTTCACCTTCTGCCCTTTTCTCGCCTCGGCCAGCCAAAGCGCTCTTGTCAAGTCTTCCTTTCATTGATTCTGATCCATACGTGTTTGAACTTCTTATAAGACCAGGTCCTGTCATTTGCTCCTCCTCAAACTTGTTTAAATCATCGTCCAGTCTTCTAATATGTCGATCCACCTTCGTCCGGAAACAACGTAAGCGCAGGGTTCCATGTTGCGCAAAAACCTGAAGCAATCACTGCCCACCATGTCATACGTCTGAACCGCCAGAGCAACCTTATCTTCCCCATGCTTCAACGTGTCCTTGAACGACTTTGCTATATTTTGCAGCAGCGCAACTCGCTCCTCTGGCGTCAATGTTCGCAAGTCTTCCATAAACTTTGAAGTCTGTTCCTCAATATTCGATACAGCATCTTGAGCCCTTGCATCCAGTTCCCGCATCTGGATTCATTCAACAATAAGTTGAGTAATCAATCCGGGCTCGCAGCACAGCGAACGCCATACTGACCAAAGTAAAGTTCCGTGCGAGTTCCCCTGGCAGTGATTCTATAGCTAGAGTCGTCGCGAGATTTAGATGCTTTGCACTAGATCTAGAGCATGACAGATTCAATATTGGTCCATGTACATACTGTCCAGATAATCCTAGATCACAAGAAATCGGGACAGCACCAAGTCAATGAACGCTGCACGCACAGATTTAGCACAAAAGAGCTGCATTATGAGGGAACGGACCTCTAGATGCAACAAAGCCATTATGAATGGTGAAGTGGTGTGAAATCTGTTGTCACTGCGACGAAATCCAATTGCATTCGCACACGAACGAATTGGAAAAGCGTTTCGCGCCTCATCTGGGTCGTCTTCGCCAATTCAATTCAGTCTCATGGAATGGCATAGTCACTCAAATGTAGTGTTTGTGGCAACGTCATCATCAAGTGGCACAGTTTGGACTGCGAACGTAGAGGACCGACCAAATATCCTCCAGTCATCAATAAAGTCTTGTAGCAATTAACGTAGATTCATTTATTAAAATGGCCATAATTTGAGAACGATTATGGCATTAGCCTCCTGTAAAAGTAGCTGTGCAAACCACTACACTGCGCAGAAACCAATGCCCATAACGGTGTCCTACGTACGTACGATAAGATAGGATACTTTTCTTATTCAAAAGTCAGTTGGCATTGTGCTCGGTGCAAGAGCACCAAAGCCCCGATGCGACTAGTCAACAGAAGGTGCATCTCGAACATCTCTTTCGCCTTGAGCACACCTCGAACATCTCTTTCGCCTTGAGCAATGTGTGCAAACACACTAGGATTTGGCCACTTTTTGCGGGTTCTTGGGGCATCCAACCTATTCTTGTCCATGTGCAATCAACATCCATCCAAGCCCCGCGCGTCCCGTGTAGATTCGGACATTCTTTCACGAGTCAGATCCTTACAGTCACTTTATACGCGCATCTCATGTATAAACGATCATCATTACTCACTGACCACTTGACACAAACTGCGAGTAGACTGCGAAAACGACTAACTCCCAACCTATGGGCAAACCTACTTTCCAAAGCCAAATGCTGCGACGTACCCATCAACCTACTTGCAATCTCCATTGCCAAGATCTCTTCACGTCCAAACAAGCGCATCCAAATGCCTACGAAACTAAGCCTCATCATGCAAACTCCACTATTTTTGGTAACACGTCATTGCCCGATTTGGGCAAATCAAATCAAATCAGATCGCCTTCACGTGCGTGTTACCTTTGCGCTTCTTGCACGCGAGCAAGCCCCTTTTTCGTGGAGGTGAAAGGCAAAGTCACTATGACGTGTAAGGGAAACAACTTTCCCCACAGATAAGGTCACGTGAACCTTATCTATCAAGGTTACCGCCATCTCGGATGATGTGGATCCATTCCCGAGTATTCGGATGCAACTATTTGTCATTATGGCCACTCCCTCATCAGATTTTCCCAAAGGTGCGGGGCCTTTCTGTTTTTTTCTCTTCCAGACGCAAAAAGAAAGAAAACCTCCTCGGGGCTGTCTTTCCCACGCTGGCCTTTTCTCCCACGCTCGCCATTTTCCCATCGCTCATTCATCATCGTCGTCGTCGTCGAATTCCATCTCTGCCATTTGCACCAGCCCTTGCCAACGACAACCGCAACCCCACTGTAAGTTGAGAGATTGCGAGAAGGTGATCTGCAAAGACAAAAGACTCACCGGACCATTTGCAGAACGTATAAGACAAAACTTGAGTTACTGGCTCATGCTCCTGAATTCTCATCACAAGAGCCCCAGCATCACAAAACACATTGATTGTTATCTGGCAAACGACAACATCTCGCCGCCCCACTCTCCCGTACCAACAGTTTATTCGACGCGTGACATTGAGCTTTTAAACTACACATCGCTTGATTTTATTCGTCCGGAGGTTCCTAGGGACCCACCGGTTTGCAAATCTGCCAAGCTGCGTCAAAAGTACTTGTTGGCGCAACAGTCACCGGCTGCGCCGGCGGCTTCTGAAGGGGAGGGATTCAAGTTTGGCGGGGCAGGTTCCTCGTCAAGTGCTCAAGGTGGCATCTATGCGCATAAAAACCCATCCACATCCAGCCTTTCCGCGGGCCTCGCCGCTGCTGCGGCTGCACATCGCTCAGATTCGCCAAGACCACAACAGCAACCACAGCAATCACAGCAATCACAGCAGAGGATTGGGGTAGGAGCGGTTGGGATGGGCACGCCCGTGATGGACATGCGGGGTTTGGCCAGAGGGCAAACGCCTCCACCTCGCGCCAACAATGGATCTCCCTGCTCCGCAAACCGAACAACTCGACCACCACCCGTAGACACTTTTTGCCCAACCACGGGCGAGAATAGGCCTGCATCTCCATCCATTCCCGTTAACATTCCTTCAACTGGCAACTTTTCTCATGGCGATTATGCGCGTTTCCCGGCAAGCCCGCCAAGCGAAAGCTCGTCAACGGCGTCATCACCTGGCGCTGTCGGACCGGAGGGCTCACGCACATGGACACATGGACGACAGAAGGACAAGGTTGGCATGCACAGACCCCGACACAGTCTCTCCGTTAGTATTGTTCGCAGGCGAACAAGCTCAGGGGCAAGTTCCCCCGTGACAAGCGGGTCGTACTCATCGCTAACGCAGTCCCCAGCAGTGTCTTTTCTGGCTTCGCTGGCCGACATGTCTGCCCCAAAAGGCCCAGGTAAGCATTAATTGGGATCTTTCTTGTTTTCAAACACACGCTTATCATATTTTTGTTCTTTACTATTGCAGTGCATGGGATGTACTCGGAAGGTGATCAGGTCGGCGACTTCCTTCTGGGAAGAGAGATTGGATCTGGTGCATTCGCTCGCGTTTTTGAGGCCGACGTAATTGACGGACCCCACAAACAGTTGGGAAAAGTTGCCGTAAAAGTAGTGAAAAAAGACCAACCTCGAATGGAAGATGGTCAAGATGTGCAGCAACACATTGACCATGAGACAACTATTTGGGCGCGTCTCCGCCACCCTCACGTCCTGGAAATGCTGGAATTGATGGATGCCGACGACGCAGTATTTGTTGTGTGTGAACTTGCAACCGATGGCAACTTGCTTGACCTGATCGTGAAAGAAGGTCGTCTATCGGAAGCCCATGCCCGCAACCTGTTCAGGCAGATTGCTGATGCAATTCGATACTTGCACGAGGAGATACAGGTGGTGCATCGCGACATCAAGTGCGAAAATATCTTGCTGGACTCTCAAGGAAACGCAAAACTTGCCGATTTTGGATTGTCTGTCGAATTAGCGCCGCCGTCGCCGGAGGCGTCTCACAATGGGGCATCTCCAAATGACCCTGTCTTTTGTCATGGTTCGCTGCACTATTGTGCCCCAGAAGAGCTACGACAAACCACGCACAGCAACCCTGCCTCGGATTTGTGGTCTTTAGGATGTGTCTTGTATGCGATGCTCACAGGAGCTTTACCCTTCAACGATGGGTTTCCTCCTCGATTGCAGGCCATGATCATCAATGGTCGATACGATGCAGAAAAATTGGACCGAGCGGGAGTCTCAAAGGAAGCCAAGGACCTGATTGCGGGCATGTTGAAGACAAAGATTGAGGAGCGATTCACGATGCGCGAGATTTGGAACCATCCTTGGATCCTGTGCCAAGATTGAAAGTGGCCTGGCTGGCTACACCTGTACAGTTTTGGAACGTTACAATTTTGATTAGCATTTTTATTCCAGTTTTGTTTATTGTATTATAGTCCTTTTTTTATGTTGCATGAAGTGCGTATTTACTGCATGGTTGTGCAATACTATATCACATTATCATTATTCCTTGTGCGTTTATTCTGCTGTCGTTTATGTCGTCTTTTGAGCATTTTCAGTGCGTCATGCGGATGATTCTCCCAAAGTAGGAATGGTTTTAACACTTTTACGTTGTACACTTATCGTCTAGGAGGATGAATATTCAACTCGTGCAGTTTTTACAAACCCCACAACTCTCTACGCTCCATATCTTTTGAATGGGGATGCGACGTGCCCTTATGCTATGGCCCTAAATCAATGCAAAGACACATTAACCACAAGCCCTCGACAAGCCCAAAATCCCAAACACACGAGAAACCGCACCATTTGACCACCGCTTCAGGACAGCCCTCATACCGCTTCACACCCATCTCAATTTGCGCCGCTCCAACAACTAATCTCACCATCCGGTACTCTTTGGGACACCGCGCTCCAATACCTTCCACTCGCTTGACAAATTCCAACGCCAAGAGATGCTCAAAAGCCTGCTCCCAAAAAGGTCAATACGTGACTGATCCATCTCCTTTCTCAATAGACCATACCTTGAGCGCAACAGGTTTCACAAAATACAAGCTATTCCCTCCCCGTCCCAGCGCACTAACACGTTGCACAAATTCCCGATACTCGTCATACACCATCTCGAAATTAAATGTGTCCACTTGACGAGATTCTTGGTGTCGCATCGCGATGAGGAGACAGAGTTCGAGAACTGACAGTCCTACAGTGATGGCGTTGTTAGTTTATCTTTTAGTGATGTGAAAAAACAAGAGGTTTCTTGTCGTCGCAAACCTTTAATCACTTCCGTCTTGTGATCAAGACGTTGGGAGGCGGCTGCTGAAAGGATATCTTCTGGTTGTAGAAAAGGGGAGGTGGACGAAAGGCGGTAGATGGGGGCGTACTGCAACAGCGAAACATGTATCTGTGAGATTGACGGGTTTTCGTGGAGATCCGGAAGAAGCCAAAAACGTACAAATAATCTCATTGCGCTTCTCACGTCCTTGCTCAGCTCGAACGTATCTCTGAGGATATTCACCATATCGGGGTGCTTTAGAATATCCTGCAAACGGCTCATCAGTCTCAATATAGGAGACATAATACATGAGTTATATATACCTGTACACGCCTGTTGAACAGCGCAACAAACTCTTTATTGCCAACTCCATCATCAGGAGCAATGGATAAAGCCGTCTGCACAATCGCCGTAAAGTCTGTCAAGGCGTCGGGAGGGTAAAAGAAGATGTGTCGATGCGAGAATCGTGATTTCACTCGCTTCTCCAGGAGGTCCATGAAATCCTATCATAAGAGTAGCAAAAGGAAAGAACAATAGTTGTTCAGGATAAATCAGGCCAAGTGACAATAACACAACATACTCACTATCCGACATGTAACACCAACAACTGCAACAGGATTTTGACTACTCTGCGCAATATCAAACAGGTTATACAGTAATGCTTGTCTGGGGTGTTGAGCAAATAGGTCGATATCCTCTAATATGAACACCACTGGTGTACTCTGCATCGATCCGGCACGGAGTGTCGAGAGTACAAAGGAGAGGCACTCGGCAAAGGAGCCCTATTAAACCAACCGTGATGAATTAGAAACACGCTACTTAGCAGAAAAGGAAACAAACGCGCTTACAGTATGCCCCTCCATGTCCTGTTCCATATGCAATTGCCGAACAATCTCTCGAAGAGCTAATCGATCGTCCGTCTGCACGAGGCCGTTCAAGCGGATCTCAAAGAACGCTTTCGTTGCCAGTGTACGGGATGGAGTGGGTGTACCAGACGATGCACCGTGCTTGTCCTGGAGTTCTTTCAGTACTTTATTGACTACCTACTTGTAATATCCAGAATTGAGTGTGCGGTCCATCATGTCATTTCAGGGAATACAAAAACTTACCACTGTTTTTCCCGTGCCGCGATTTCCAACTAAAAGAACTGAATTGCTCTCGCTCTCCCGGACTGTACGCTCCAACAAGCCATAAAGTTTGCTAACGTCCCAGATATAAAGTTAACATGTCAAGCTTTTGATGGTGGGTTCAGTAAGCAAACCAAGTACTCACTTGTATTGTTCTTGAAGCCCAATCAGATGGGTCGGTCCATGCCGCTCATTTATCCGTCCCAGTATACGTTTTTGTGCATTATTTATTTCTTCCGGAGATACAGCAATGGTCGGTAAAGGGACGGAAAGAGGATCTGGCACCTGCGACCGCTGCTCGATGCAATGTGTGTCCTTTGAAGGAGTGGTCCGCTTTGCCATTCGTCCCTTTCGTTTATTTGGAGGGGTCACAGAGTCTACGACGATGACCTCCTCCTGTGTTTCAATTTGGCTGCCTGACGTATCGTCCACCACCGTTGGATGCTTTGGAGGTCTTCCTCTTTTTCGTCGCGGGGTGTCCACCACGATTTCTAGTGTTCCACCCTTTGCTGCTCGTTTGGACGGTGTTGCGATCCGATCCTCGCTATCTACAGGCTCCCACGGTTTCTTTTCCTTTAACGAACCAGTCTTCATTCTTGTAACATATCTGCTAGGAGTGACGGTTGAATTGAGCTCTGGTGTTCGTATCTTGTTGGCACGGTCTGATAATGGGGTATCATCATCGGTCTCCTCCAGGATATCGGTGCATTGGGCAGTTTTCGACTTTTTGCTCGGAGTTTTGGGTACAGTCCCAACGGGTGATTTGGATATCCTCTGTGAAGCAGGTGTATTATCATCGGTTTTGTCCTGGACGTTTTCCTTCTCGTCTTTGTCTGTCTTTGGTCGCTTAGTCCGCGTGGGTGTGTCTTGCACATTGTTTTCTGTTGACTGTAGGCTGGATCGGGGTTTTCGCTTCCCGCTAGTAGAACCGCCTCGTGCGTCTCTTTCTGACGGACTCTTTAGCGGTGTGATGGCTTTTCGCTTGCGGGATGATTGGCTGTCAGCTTCAGCGGGAAAGGCAAAAGGGTCGGTGCTGGATTCACGGCCAAAGAATTTCTGCACGGCAGCTCGATTTTTGGTCGTAGACTTTGGGATTCTGGTGCTGTACGGTGAGCCGTCAACCATCTTTTTTTATTATTGCTGGATACAGCACAATAGCTGTCAGAGTAGATCCGTACTGCCAGAAACCAGAGGACGCTGAGCGAATCGCCCGAAGTGTCCGGCCCATCGGACTCGCTCACACTGAAATGTGGTGTGTCATCCCAAACCAAAGAGCTTCTCCTTCATTGCACGCAATCCGCAACAACAATGCTTCGCTTCCGCCCACGTATTGGCATTTTGCCTTCGAGAGTCTTTGTTAGGGCCTCGCTTACTCGACCTTTTGCAGTGAGTGTTTTCGCAACATTATTTATGCTTTCAACCAATGTGGTATTCATTGGACTTGTGCGCGGGCATCAAACGCAATTTTATCAAAGACTCAAGCGCCTACTCCTGCATCCGGTGACAAAGCCACCGTTGAGCCAGCCGTTACACCCGACCGCACTGCATTTCCTGCCACCAGTGCATTTGAGAATGAGCTTTCCCGTGGCCCTCAAGCGGCCTTCATGAACGACCCAGAGTACGAAGACTTGACAAGGTCGCACAAGGGTTTGTCCTTTGAGCCTTTCCCGCCTGAGATTTCCGAAATTCTGCTAGCACCTATAAAAGAGGCGGATATCGAAATTACACCAGGTGGGTGGCCATTTGAGGCAGTGAAATCCGACCGTTTGATATCAATCGTTCTGATACCGGTTCTCGATACAACAACTTTACAGATGGTCTTTTATACCTTCCTGAAATCAAATATCGCCGTATTCTTAACCGCGCATTTGGCCCCGGAGGTTGGGGACTCATTCCCCGCGGCCCGCATACAGTGACCAACAAGACAATCTCGAGAGAGTACGCCTTGTTTTGCCTCGGCCGATTTGTTGCACAAGCACGCGGGGAACAAGACTACTTTAGCGATGACAAACTACCGACCTGTGCGGAGGGAGCAAAGTCCAATGCTCTCATGCGTTGCTGCAAAGATTTAGGGATCGCTTCGGAATTGTGGGACCCTATCTTTATCGAACAATTCAAGGCAAGCCATTGTGTGCAACTTCCCACTGTGAGCGGATACAGCAACACTCGCAAGCTTTTGTGGAGGAGGAAGGACCGGAAGTTTGGCCCAGGCGTCAGGGAGGACACTGGCAGCTCTAGTAATTCCGGAGGAAATGCTTATAGAAAAAATTGAAAGATCTTTAGTGAAGATCTATAAAAAATTTGTATTGCTGCTTTAGCTGGTTGCTTGCGATATCATTGTGTGCATAGTTAACATAGTCGGATATAAGTGATTTGATCTTTGTAGCGTTGAGACATGACAGGATGGCGACTGAAGGGCGCTCACAGTGACAGGCTTTAAAGCGTTACGGACCCATCATGCTTCCTCTGGTAAAGTCCAAAAACAAGGGCGCTACGAAGAGATATTTGCTCCAAATTTGAGGAATTATAATTGTAATATAAGGAAATAGGATACAATGCACTGTCCACTCACTGCCAGTTTCGGGCACTTCCTTCGAAGCAATCCTACATTGAACGACGACAACAACAACAACGCAACGACAAGAACCAATTCCCTCGACAGGCCGTCCGTCGCCGGTACGTACACATGCCCCCCACAACCTTCAATCTCCACACAATTTCCAACCCTCTAACCCAGAAATATCATCGATAACTTTGGCAGCGAGGAATAAATTCCAGACACGTTAAAAAAAGTCAATCCATTTTCGCGCCCCAGTAGTCGCCATATATCTAAGCGCTAGCATAAAACTTTTTCAAGTAGTCTTCCGCTTCGCGATATTCTTCCTTGGTTTGCGCCAGCAGTGCGCCAATTCGCTTTAGGGCCTCGTCCTCAGAGATACTCCCTGAACCGTGCTCATCTTTGAGGTTTCCATAGTGTTGTATTTTCTCGCAAGATGCCTTTACTTTGGTGAGACCCAGAGCTGCCGAGCTACCTTTGAGAAAGTGCCCAAGACGAGATAGAGAGGGTAGGTCTTTTGCTCCCCTGAATCAGAAACAATGGAGTCAGATTACTAATGATCGGGATGAGGGTCAGGATGAGAAAAGTTGACGAAACCCACAATGAATTATCCATGCTGGCAAAGGTGGTTTCAGCTTGCTCGAAATAGTTGAGAACAATGTCTCTACTGAAGCTCCTTTCCTCATCATCTTCGTCCATCTATCAAGTCACCTTTTAAAAAACGGACGATCCACAAGCGGTACCCCTTCCCACCCTCATACCTCCAACAGCTGGTCGAAGATGCTGTGGTCTACAATATCGTCGGATGCCATGATGTATGCTTTTGAAGGATACCCAATCCGTAGATTTTACTTTGACAGTTTTTTGAAATGAAAGGCTTGGACTCCCAAGAGGCCGTTTTCAGTCTAAATAAAAGGGCGCGTCGCTAACGGCATTTTAACATTCTCGCCATGTGATGTCATGCTCTTTCGGACGTAGAGATTTTCATACGTTTTTTTTTCTTTATTATGGATATGTACAAGGTATTTGCATATTTAACATGACTACAAGGTTCAGTATTCAGAGATTAAGCAAGACTGTCAGCTCATGGCCTTATCATAGGCTGCCCAATAGTCGTCATCAGAGTCTACTTGATCACTACCACTAGCCTGAGTGGCATCGACCTGTGGAAGCAGGAATTGTTAATAAACTGCATGAGAGACAATCTTGAGTTGAAAACGTACAGGCTTGTCATCCATCACCAGATCGTACGATTCCCAGTACTCCTTCTCATCATCGCAAACGTCTTTCACAACGAGTGATTCATTCTGTCGCCCTACGGCGTCGACAGCTTCCTCCATACTTTTTGACCAATCCTGACAATAGGCTTCTAAACCAGCGGGCGTTTCCAAAAGGTTGTGGAACAACCACTTATTCTCCACCCTGCAGAGAACAACTAAACCTGCTCGTCCGCTCCACCTGTCACGCGCAAAAGGAACACAGGCATGGACGGTTTCACAGTCCCATACCCGGTAATACACGGGAGTGTCTGGCGGCATATCCTTTGCTGCATCCCATAGCTGAAGTAACTCTCGCGCATTGTCTTTTTGCCACTGGAACAGTTCGACCGGGTCTGCAAATGGGCTACCGTCCAACAGTCGGTGGCGATCCTTGACAAATTTGGATGACAAAAGAAGCAGCGGTTGATACGCCTCTGATTGCAGCAGTGATACGGCCAGGGAGGCAACACGGACAGGATCACATAAAGCCGTCGAGTCTGGAAAGCGCATTTCCACCATATGTTCAACTTGCAAGTCCAAGTCGTTGACGGCCCTCCATCCTGCAGCACACGTGACAGTCTTGACTAAGCCAAGGAGTGTCCGAAATCTTGTCCGAACAGAATATTAAACACGCCCTTTGAGAACAATCCTTTGAAAGGCCCAATTCACGTAAAAGCGCAGAAGGCATCTCCCATCCATCGCATCCATCCATCCATCCCGTCGTTCGTATTGCTAAATCCAAAGATACGCCAAACGAAATCGTTTCCATCCATCCATCTGCCATCCATCGCTTTTGAAGATTTTGGATTTATTTCAAACCAGCTGCAAAACCCGTCGCGACAAACTGCCCAGGACCGTGAGTCACGCGCCTGACACTAGGACCCAATATACGATCTAGATCCTTATCCCATCTAAAGTTTCCACAATGAACGGAATGCCAATGATGGTGTGTATGACAGTGCTTTTGCAATGGATTTACTCGTCGCGTCAAACTCTATGGCGCGCTCATCGGGAGCGTAATGACTGTGAATGCGTGCTAACTGTCTTTTATCGGGCAGCAACCACAAATTATCCTCCTGAAAGAAGGAACGGATACGTCCCAGGGAAAAGGACAGCTACTGTCCAACATCAACGCTTGCATTGCTATTGCAGACACAATCCGCACAACGCTTGGACCACGAGGGATGGATAAACTGATTGTGGAAAACAATGGTGCGCAGATGCGGACATACGTTTCCCCCTTGTCTTTTGGGACAATGATGGTTGAAGTGTTTTCGTCCAACTTACGCGCCTCTCACAACTAGGCAACGTGACAATCTCGAACGACGGTGCTACCATCATGAGGCTACTAGATGTTGTCCACCCAGCCGGAAAGGCACTTGTAGATATCTCAAGAGCGCAGGACGCGGAGGTGAGACGTCAGCGGTCAAACCACTTGCTAATGGGGTACTTTGTTAACCTAAAAACAACGTATTATCACATAGGTGGGCGATGGAACAACGAGTGTAACGCTTTTCGCAGCCGAGCTCTTGAAAGAGGTGAAATCCCACATTGAAGAAGGAGTGGCCCCGCAGGTTATCATTAAAGGCTTCCGTAAAGCATCGACATTGGTATGCCCTCAGTATCTCAGTAATGGCCATACATCTGTTTTTTAATGTTCCGTGTTCTCTACAGGCCGTGAACAAAGTGAAGGAACTTGCGGTTACTGTTGAACGTCAGAACGCAGCGTAAGCCAATCTTTATCATGTCACGTCACTACGTGTGCTGTTTCATTGTCTCACCATTATTCATTCTTTAGTGAATTCCGTGACCTGCTGGAGAAATGTGCTGGAACGTCCATGTCGTCAAAGTTGATTCATTCCCACAAAGAATTCTTCACAAAAATGGTAGTTGATGCAGTACTGCATCTGGATCAGGAAGAGCTCAATGAAAGGATGATTGGAATCAAGAAACAGCCTGGAGGTGCTATGCAGGATTCCCTGCTCATTGATGGTGTTGCGTTCAAGAAGACGTTCTCCTACGCTGGATTTGAGCAGCAACCAAAGAGCTTTGTAAACCCAAAGATTCTTTCTCTCAATGTTGAACTGGAACTAAAGGCGGAAAAAGATAATGCTGAAGTTCGGATAGAGGAAGTGAAGGTAGACTATGTTTTTCTGGTCACGATAAGATACTTTCTCAATCTCATATACTTTGTTCATCAGGAATACCAAGCGATCGTGGATGCCGAATGGTCCATTATCTATGATAAATTAGAGAAGATTGTCGCCACGGGGGCAAAGGTTGTGTTGTCGAAACTTCCTATCGGAGATCTTGCGACTCAATACTTTGCGGACCGGGACATATTTTGCGCTGGACGTGTGCCAAATGAAGACTTGATTCGGACGGTAAAGGCTGTGGGTGGTAGCATCCAGACGTCAGTAAATGACATCAAGCCCGAGCATTTGGGAAGCTGCGAGCACTTTGAGGAGAGGCAGATAGGTGGCGAGAGGTACAATCTCTTCAAGGGTTGCCCTCAAGCCAAGACGTGCACTCTTGTCCTTCGCGGAGGAGCTGAGCAGTTCATCGCCGAGGTAGAGAGGAGTCTACACGATGCTATCATGATTGTTAGGAGAGCCATCAAAAACAAGGCGGTGGTAGCTGGAGGTGGTGCAACTGAGGTAATTTGAGGTGATGCTCATCTTAGGGATGACGTTCGTACTTACGACTGTTTTATCACTAGATGGAATTGTCAAAATACTTGCGCGACTACTCCCGCACTATCGAAGGAAAACAGCAAATGGTGATTGCTGCCTTTGCAAAGGCATTGGAAGTGATTCCGCGTCAGCTTTGTGACAATGCTGGTTTCGATGCCACTGATATCCTCAACAAGCTGCGTCAAAAGCATGGCCAAGGTATGGCATGGGTAGTCGCTTCCTTCAGTATATGTGATGAAGCTTACGATTCCTTTCTCAGGTGGTATATGGTATGGTGTGGACATGGAAACTGAAGATATTGCGGACAACTACAATGGATTTGTCTGGGAGCCTGCGTTGGTCAAGACCAACATGATTTCAGCAGCCACGGAAGCAGCGTGCTTGATTCTGTCCGTCGACGAAACGGTCAAGAATCCGCAAAGCGAGCAGCCGGGTCAGGGTATGCCACGCGGAGGTGGCCGAGGCCGGGGACGGGGTATGCCAAGGCGTTAATGTTTGAATGATAAATGCAGAAGGAAGGATTGTAGTGTTGAAATTGGCTCTTGTAAATGACCCGTTTACTCTTGTTCCTAATACAATTTTTGTCCATAATCGTTGCACAACATGCGGTCTAAACGGCCTTTGAAGACTACATCTCGTTGATGGCAAGATATACAAACCCTCACATTCTTTGAATCTAATTACTATCTCGACTATTCATCAGCTGGAATAATTCTATGAAGGTATCAACAAACTCTCGCACACAAGCACAAACTTGCCGTCTGTACCGTCTGTTGATACCCCAGGTTGCGTTGATTGTGATTCATTCTGCGGTATCTTGGGTCCCAAGGCTGCCAATACACTTGCCACCCAGTTTGCATCAGTCAATGGCGACAGATCTTCCGTGCCTTTCTTGTGAACCTCCCATGGTGGAGGTTTTGGCAATTTCTAGAGCTCTCTTCATTAGTATGTTGGCTTTGCCAATTCATGACAATGCACATACCGCGCGAACTTTGCTGTACGGTTCCTCGCGACTGGAATACTCTCGTAATAGATGATTTGTACCAAACTGGTGATAAAAGCGGGTATCATTTATTCTAAACAACACATCGTCGACCCGTAGGAAGAACCGCAGCAGAATCAGAAAGCATGATGGCATGACCCGCTTAAAATGCAAACGACGAGTTAAGAGCCAAGGTTCATCCAAATGCGTTATGCAGATGGCGTACCACGCGTAAGCTAAGAATCGCAGTCCCATTATCTGCCAGCTCATCTTCATATAAAATCAGTTCATCATAAAACATGATCGGATCTGGGCGTTTGAGACGTTCAATATCAATAAGTTCTTCCGATGGCTTGAATTCACTTCCAGTGGACTCAATCGTTCCAGTATAGTCGGTCGTATATGTCCAGTCGTAAGGTTTCACAACATCTTTAATCTTTTCGTGGGCTGCCGCGCTGCAACACATGTATATTAGCTGATGAAGATCAGTTTCCTTTCACACATTCTAAGTGACGGCAGATCAATCGGCTTTCTAACCTTTTTTGGGACCAATGATCTGCATAAGCGACTTTTATTCCTTCTGCTGCAGCTGGGGACGCATCTACTCGCTTCAAGGCGTCGATAGCTTTGAAGGTGATCTGCAAGCCGGATTCATGGCACAGTGATAGGTGGTTGTTTCCAAAGAGCATTTCAGGGTTGGGAATAGGGAGCTCTTGGGATGCTCTGTAAGAAAATATTTGCGGTGTTCTGGTTAGCTGGCTTGGAAGGGCAAGGAAATAGACATCTAGGGGATCATACCTGTCCAACTCGCTCGAGTTATAAATGGGCGCTTTGCGGGTGGTAATTGTCCAGCCATTCAATTTTATGCCAGTCTCTTGGCCGTTGGCAATGAGCACGGGTTCTGTAGTGGATACTGCCGTCATGGCTGGTGGAGCAAGGTTGCAAGATGACCGTTTTGGCCGTCAGCTCAGAGTCGATCGCGGACGTCGCGCCACATAAGCCACAACCTCGTGAAGCCAATCATTGAATGCACTTGGTCTTTTGTACGTAATACGATGAAAGCTTACAGCTGAACGGTTATCGTTTTCTTGTTTTTCTTTTGTTCATCGCTTGGTTCGTTATTTGCAGCAAGAATGACACACCGAGATATTTGGTTTTCGCACCCACGCAAATATGGGAAAGGCTCTCGCCAGTGGTGAGGTTAAAAGAGTTTCGACACACAGAGAGCAGTAGATAGTTTCAACTAGTACCACTGGTTGGATAACGCCATATCTATTTTTATAGCCGAGTGTGCTCCCATCAGGCTGGTCTAGTCCGCAAGTATAATCTCAATATCTGCCGTCAGTGCTTTCGGGAGTATGCTTTGGACATTGGTTTTATAAAGGTAACAAGTGTGGCATATGTTTCCAATGTTTGGAGAGGCCAGCACTGAGTCAATGACATTCATGCATGCTTTTGATATGGTAGTATCGATAGCTAGCTTATTGTGGAATGGCCTTCAACCAGGTTGGGAGGATTCACGATCGTTGTTACATCCCATCTGTCTACATTAAGTGTAGCCCTGCATTTTGCACATCACACGCCCTTGCGGAGACCCGAGCGCTACATTGTGACCATGCATCCTTTAATAGCCGATTAGGTTTCGGCCCAAGAGAGCGATATGCTCCATTTCGTCGCAGCTCCTCGCTCGTTATGGTGTGGTTTGAAGGCCCAATTCTTCTCCGCGTGGGTTTTGATCGAGGTCACGTGGTTTGCTGACGTTGGGTGAAATTGTTTCAACGGCAGCCGTTTCTGCACATTTGCAAGGAAAACAAAAAAGGATGACGGTTGGGTGTTCATAATCTCATATTCTTTATTTTCATTCTGCCGACGTTTTCCACATCCTACTTGGTGACTTTCTTTCTATGGCCCAAGCACCAGCCCCGTTTCCGCCATGCTTGACGGATAAGGATTGTGTCGTCACTGGTGGGTTGGCTCCGAAATGCGTTATCAACGGTGCGGCCGGCGTGTGCTCTCCAAAAAAGTCTAGCACAACAAACACGCCAGCGGCAACACCAAAAGCGAACCAGGCGGGCAATAAGAGTACTGGGGGTGTCTCCATACCAATGGTAAGCAACATGGAAGGAATGATCAGTTGTCCAAGAGTTTGTCCTAATACTGCTCTCGAAATCTGCCCCAGATAATTGGAGTGGTAGCAGGCGCCGCTGTTTTGCTAGCGATTGTGATTGGATTCCTGATTATACGAAAGAGGCGGGCACGAAGGGCTGCAGACGATCGGGAGAACACAAAAGATATTGAACAAGACGATGCACCAACTTTCATCAAAAAACATGCAGCCCGCTCAAAGCGTAAGACTGCTCAAGAGGCATTCAATAACCCGACGTTGGTACCTGTGGAAATGTCTTCTTCTCCATTTACGCCTGAACCTATCCCACCGCCTCCTCATGCCACCGTCACGCCACCGCCAATCCACGCATCAAGGACCAGCATGGCAAGTTCTCGCAGTGCGAGAACTGCTTATATTCATCCAGTAGCACCACCGCAAGCACTACCGGACGGGCCTTCCCACGACACACTTCTTAGGCACGCTGCAAATAACCCCTACCCGATCTACCAACCCATGCCATTAGGGCCCACGAACCCGCACGGCCTTGGCTTCTACTTTACCGCCTTTGACACGACCTACACAGGTACACTTGACACTGCCACGGGGCAGTTTAGGTTCAATGACCAGTACCAATGCGATGATTACTACTACAAGTTGAATGCAGTGCCATATTATATGGAATCCCGACCAAGTACAAGTGGAAGCGGAAGTGACTATGGGCGCGAGGGTTCTACAACTTTGTCCGCCTCTGGGGATACGGCAGTGGATTCTGAAAAACAGAGTCCACGAATGGAAGCAGCGTACAGACCAAGTTTAGACAGCGGCAGACCCACTTCCGTTTTCGTTGATGCAGGATTTAGACCACGGGGGATGTGAGCAGGTTTCGCAACGACCCGAGGGCGTTGAGTATACTGATACTGACCGATTAGTAGGATGTGAGCATTTGTGGGACACTGTACATTGAAGGAATTAGTGAATATATATTATGATTTTTTTTAAAAACTATCTGTTGGATAAAAGGAGCAAAAGGATGATGAGAAGACCTGATTAGCTAATCAGCAACTGAAATCGCGAAAGACTTTCGTTAGCCAGCATTCAGTTGGCCGAAATCCACCAACCACAATATACTTGTACATACCACCATTCTTGTATCTTTTAGTTTTTTGCTCCTCATAGGTTTGGGAGTCTTTGGTTAGCTTACCTTTCTTACTACCATGACCGCCGCTGTACCTTATACCGACATCAATGCCAATCTCGCTTCCGACTTTGTTGCGGACGCCACAGAAACCGCCGTGTTTCGTCTAGCCGATATTCTACGACACCCCGACGACTTGACAAACAAGCTTGTGTCTGTCCGTAAACGCTTCGCCCTTGAGCGCGCAACAATTGACGCGCAACTGAAAACCGCAGTGGAGAGTCAACTGGATGATGCGCAACGAGGACTAGATACGCTAAGCTCTTCAAAAGATGAAACGGAGCGCATAAAAACCAATCTCTCCAACATTGATCAACTGTGTGCTGCTGCTCAAAACACCATTCGGAATTATGGGCGGATAAAGAGGATCTCGCGAACCCATCAAAACTTTGTTGCGACAAAGCAGATGGTGGAACAATTCCAGCAGCTAAACAGTCAAGTGGCACGGATACGAGGTCTACTTGAGGAGGATTCAAAGGAGCTTCTAGGACCTGCTCCTAATCTTCTCCTCATCCACTACAAGTTGCAGCAGCTTGAGACTTTTCGAAATAGTACCCTGGCCAGAGCACGACGGTCTCCCGCCGATGTTCTGAATACTCTTCACGAATACTTTCACAAAGTGGACCAACTTGAACACGAATTCGAGGAATATTTGTTTCGGCTCGCCCGTCGGACTGTTGATCTGATAAAGGGCGGCTATGCATCGACGGTTGTGAGGATGGTGAAGATAATAGAAACGGAAGAACGGGCTGATGAAATTGCATCCGTGCAGGAGGTTGTTTCCCCATCCTCCATAAACTCGGATGATCATGTCTCCGATGTAGATCCGTCACAACCACGGCCAGTCAAATCCTATCGCATCAAATTCTTCGATGCCCTACGTGATGGAATCGTTGAGGAGATAACTACGATGTATTCCAAAAACAAGGATGATCTGTCAAGTTTGTTGGCAGATTTCGACTCTGTAGTGGATAATCTCATTCTTGTCCATGATGAGGTCGTCCCACGTTTCCCGGAACGATATAATATCTTCCATTTCTATGTTTTGGAATATCACCGAGCGATATATGATACCGTCAACAAGATAACCTCGTCCGCAATTGACGCTGGGGATATCCTTATGCTTTTGCGGTGGGTGCGGGATTACTATTCGTCCATGTCTTCACGTCTAGACGTCAGTGAAGAACTTCTCGAGCCGCGTTTACTGGATGGAAAGGAAGATCAACTAACAGGAGACTACGTGAAGCTTGTTCGCTCGAAGCTTGCAGAGTGGCTTTCTAACATTCTTCGTACGGAAACTGTGGACTTTCTGGAACGGCGACATGCACCCGAGACGGATGGGTCAGGGAATTACCTTCTTACGGGCTCTGTTATTGTATTCCAAATGTTCAATCAGCAAGTTGATGTTGTGTCCTCCTCGTCTCGTGGACAGCTGCTCTTTGATGTTATGCAAGAGTGCTGCGTGACTCTTGACGAATTCCATAAAGCCTGGACGCGAATACTAGACACTGAATATCAAAAGTTTCTTGATAAATCACCCGACCTGGCAGAAGGACTGCCTGACTATATTGTGGCACTGGCCAATGATTGCCTTCGGAGTAGCGAGTTCTCGGAATCGTTATTAGAACGGACGGAACCTCTGATTGATGGGTCGTTTCGGCCGCAACTGTCGCAGAAAATCAAGGATGCCACAGACGGGTTCATGAAAGTATCGCGGCGTGCATCTCAGATACTCGTGGAAATTGTAATAGCTGATCTTCGTCCTGCGGTTAATCTCCTACACTGCCAACCACAATGGTACGACCAAGATTTGATGCGTCTCGTCATTGGCACTCTAGAGGACTACTGCGATGATTTTCACGTAACGATGGCGGAACTCCTCTTCAACCGCTTCACAACTGAACTCATGGATCGAATGGTTGGCTGCTATATTGAATCTCTCCGAAACAAAAATGTCAAGTTTCGCATGCCCATGGCCACCGAAAAAATGCGAGCAGAGCTGTCACAAGTCATTGATTTTTTCACCCGTTACAAAACCGCGAAGCGTGTCAAAGCGGCGTTTGAAGTCATGGAGAAAATTATCGGCTTTGTGGAGAGTTCTCCCAAGATGGCTTTCCTGGACTTTTATTCCTTGTGGAAAGCGTACCCCGACTGTCCAATTGAATTTTTTGAGTGGTTGCTCAGTAAGAGGGATGATTTGGATAAGACGCAGGTTAGAGAGGTGATGGACGCGTGTAGAAGCAAAGCTCAGGAAGAACGGCCTGAGCAAGTACAAGTGCAGCCTACAATATTTAGCAAGCTGAAACTAAAATGATCATCTTATGCCTTTAAACATGACGTATTTGTATGTACCTCGCGGTCCATGATACCAGTTTTGGCCAGCCGTAGGAGTATCTTTTAGCACAAAAAGTGACCGTGAGACGAACGTGCGGCTGCATTGCATTATAACTTCACTTCTACTTTTCTACTACATCTAGCAGCATTTAAACGTTTCCGGACGTCATGGCCCTGGTCGAGATTGGCCCTTTCAGTGAGTCGATGGTATGCGACTTCCGAGTGCAGCGGACACTCTTGAAATGACCTATCCATTCGTCAAGACTCTCAGGCGTAGAGGTCTGCAATTCCCACACCAAGTTATTGTTCAGTTGGATCAAAAGGCAATAACCTGACTCGGGTGACTTGATGACGTTGAGAATTTTGAGATCTTCTACTTGTACGGTTGTGCCTTTGTATTCAGATGCCTCTTCGAGAGGAATCTCTGCAACAACGCTTCGGTTGGGCACGAGGATGATGGACCGTCGAACCCATCTACTAACACCAATCAACAACTTGGACCTGGCAATGCGGACGTCAGCATGTCCTTCTACCACCTCCACCTTATCCAGCTTGCTAAATGAGTTAGTTCCAATCTTTTCGGTACTCAATTCGGATCCCGAAAGCACTGCTCCATTTCCGGTGGGAGCGTCATCCTTCATCAGTGGCTGGTGCGGAGAGACAAGCAGAGTCTTCACTTTCGGCAGGAAGAAAATTCCATAAACAAGAGATGTGATGACGAGAATACCCACAGGGATCACCAAAGGGTTTCCCGTTGTCTGGGCGATGATCTGAAGCATCGTACCATGTGTCAATATGGGAATAGTCGTTACTGTATCAGAGCAGTGTACCTACCGGAATGATCACCACAAACGTCACCTAAAGTGTCATGAAAATGTCAGAGTAGATCGACTTGATTTCAAAAGCGTGACACACTCACGATATTGTACATGGCAAGGCCGATAAGTTTCGACTCGTTGTAGCGTGCCGCTACGTTGCGGATCTAGGAGAATGTATAAATGAAGGCTCACCCATCCACATCATTATTAAGACTCACCGAGTATGCAAGGAGTGTAGTCGCTATGAGAACGAGGGCATTGAAGATGAGAACCACAGCGCTAAGTATATCACGCGCAGTTGTACCGCCCATCGAGCATTCCCAGTACCGAGTCGTTGTATTAACGGACAAGATATTCGGCTTTGGAGGAGCAACAGTGAGCCAGATTGCGAGAAGCAGCTGGTGGATACACAGTCGTTAGCAACGGACTTCAATTAACCTTCGCTAGATCGTGGCGTACCCCTTCAATAACGACGATTCCAAGAGCAATTCGCAACGTCTTCAGGTCTGTTATCTTCCCAATCCGGATGCGAGCTGCAAATATAGTTCGAATGCGCCAAGTCTTTGCGAGAATACTGCCGTTTACGAGGCCTACAAGCACATCAGAAAGGCAGTTGAGTATCAAAACTATTCCATTTTTACGACAATAGAATATCATCTGTACCAAATGACATGACCAGTGGAATTGGAATCACTCTGCAAACGTTTTCGTCCTTGGCTTTAATGTAAAGGAAGACAGTAGAGTAGCTCATCATGAGGCCAAACAGGATCTACAGGCCCATTAAGTAAGGAGCATAAGTTAAGTCTTGATATCAAAATATAGGTGGTCTTCTTGACTTACCAATTCCAAAAATATCAAAGACGAGCTTCTTACGACCGGATGATTGCGATAGCCAAAGAAGAGAATTCCGGTGATTAAGGTTATTCCCATCAGAAAAGTAGTGAATGCAACGAGGATGTTTCCAGCGGTAGTCAAATATTCGATCGTGTCCGCTGGTAGAGTGATACCCAAGACCAGGTGTAACTGGACAAACAATGTAGCAAGCGCGCTGGATGCCGACACTTGATCGGAAAGGATATTGCTGACGGTGACGAATACATCTGAGGATACTTTATCGTAGGAAGATCCTGAAACTGCTGTTGGTCGCGCCACGGTGGTGACGGATTTTAGAGCGTTGCACCATACAGAGAAGTTACCGGCGCAAAATGTAGTGTCATCGTACAGTGCTGGGTGTGTAGGCCAGTAAGGACTAAATGAGTTGAGGAAAGTCTGTTAGATGTGCTCCCGAATTGTTTCTACATATATTATGAACCAACCTGTACTGCAATGCTCTATCGCGTTGATATTGGTACGATGTCAGGAAACTTGCGGCAATGACGGCCGCCTCTGGCTTTGTGGTGAATTTGTTCACCCCAACGTGCCATCCACCCAGTGTGGCCGCGGTCTGTCCTTCACTGCATCCTGGGAGTGGAGCTCTGGTTGGACGTGGTTAATTTGGCTCGCCATCGCAAGATGCTGCAAATGAGAAACTTACACGCCGACAATGCCTCCCGCGTCTAGTTGTCCGCTCATGGGTCCCTCCCGAAAATCGTTGTAACCGTCCCTTGAATGCAACGTATCAGTTACAGTTTCCTTTTTCGATCCGTGTATACTGAGTAGCTACCAAAAGCGCATGAACACGGCTTGACCACTAAAGAACTTCTTCGTTGTATCGGCTGTAGAAGAACCGTATTCGACGAATGTCAGACCAGAGACTGAAGTCAGAGTCTTCCAAGGGAAAACAAACCTTCACGGTACATGAGTACATCTGGGATCGTGATTTGACTTTGAGATATCCAATTTTTAACCCGTGTGAGCATAGCAGCAGCCGAGGGGCGGTTGATGGACACTGTTCCGTCAGGTTCAATGATACTTCCACCTCCACAACTAGCGATAAATTCTACTGCGTTGCATGTGAGACCTTCGTACTCTATTCAGAGTGGTCGAGTGCAGATTAGAAATCTGAGATTTAGAACTGGTCAAATGCTGATTCGCTTACGGGCGAATTGTCCGACCCATCCTGTCAATGAGGAATTATTCTCATTAGCAAGAACCACTTTAGCCATATGTTCCATTTCATCCCACGTCCTGTTCAACGGCGAGATTGGTGTCAGTTTTTTTTTGCTTGTTTTCGATTCTGACGAATGGGAATCAATTACTTTGGCGGACTGGTAAAGTTTGCTATAAGGTATGAAGTAAGAATCACAAGCCCCACAAAAAGGTCGCTTGAAGTCTTTACCTCGGGCTAGCAAATCCTTGCGATAATACATGAGACCCAGATTCTGAACAGAACCTGATTTAGTTTACCAATGCATCATAACTCGGGCTAAAGCAGAGGATGTACCATGTAGGAAGGCAAACTGCAAACCAAGGACGGCGTGAGAGGACTGTAAATGATACATATACCCAGCTTTGAAAATGATCTTACCCTAGAAGACGTCCCTCCACCACATCACTAACCAAAATGTGTTTATCTTGGGTTGCAACATTGCTCACAATGCTCGGATATGGGCTACTGAATTCGCCGTTTTGAGAATATTTTCCAAGTTCCAGTAGATAGGGCGCCAATACGGCAGTATAGGCGATATCAAAATTGTATAGATCATAATTGCTGCTCTCGATTCGTCCGAGCGTTTTCATGACACCCAAGTATCTAAGAAAGGAAATATCAGAAGCCCGTAGTTATGATTGTGATCAAGATGCTACCTACTCTGCTGTGTCGCTACTGGCTGCCTCATGAATTTCAATTGTCACGCCAGATGTCGCACTCCAGGCTGCGTAATACTGGTCAACCCATGTTCTCATGGATGCCTCTTGCTTTTGCGTTAAGATCTTGACGACGGTAGCATCTAAGGAATATCCAAGATTAACCTTCTCCACTCCGATGGGGATGCGCACGGATTCATACTGGCGGCATGGCAGAGAAAGAGGATAGATAGTGCCAAAAGTACCAAAGGTCCAAAAGGCGGCATATTAGAAAGGTATCAAACGCACAAGTTATCAGATGAATAACTCTATGATTTTCAGTAGGTCCCTGTTATACGTCAACTTCTAGTGCGAAAAGGAAACAACAGAAAGCCTTGATGGACGGAGTTTTTTGACAGTTTATGTGCTTTGGGTATCCCATGTGTTGATGTTTTTATGTTTTTCAACTCAGCGGTGAGGTTCCGACTGTCTCTGAATAGTTACCATGCGCGCCCTTTCAGTTAGACTCTGGATCTGCCGGCTCTATATCGGCGAGTCAGTACCCGGAACCCACATGCTTTGTTCTTGGCTTTATGTGCGCACCTGAGATTCCATGAATTCCTAGTATTATCACGCTCAAGTATGATATATAAATGCATTAAAGTTAATCTAGATCTGGCATCACCAAAAAAAATGGTATTTATCCATGTCCATTTATACACTATGGGGATTTCACTGGAACGGTTGCTTTCTTGCCTGGCTCTGGATTTTCACATGGCTCATGGAATATTAACCAACGATGAAGACGACCTTCCAAACTTTTTCGTAAGACTTTGTTTGGTCGGGCTGTTTACGCGAACCAATATGCCATTCATGGAACAGGACCCAAGGCTAAAAAACCTTGCTCATCACACAGCCAAGAACTTGGCTCACGGTGCGGGTATCGGAGCGGAAGAGCGTGTCCTTCTAGAAACGTTGGAAGACTATCCTTCTCTTCTTTGGCCATGTGGAAAGGCAAGTCAATAGCTTGGTGGAACCATATGCCAGTCAATAGACCGACCAAGCATTCACCAGGTACGTTTTCATCACCTCACTCGGACATCTTCAATATTTATAAAGCATCGAGAAGAATAAACTTTGTCCTCGACATTGAGCGAAACAATCACGGTACAGGCTTGGTCCCGGAGACCAGTCCTATGGGACAGAACATTTTTGGTTCGTGACGTGTCAAAGAACAATATAATCTCAGGCTTACGTTCCAGCTGCGCCAGGGATTCCCGGAGGACCTCTCTTTGCTATAGCAAACGGACAAAATAATCAATATTAGAACCTGGTAACGGTAATGCTGTCCATATCAGCAGCTACATACCATTTTCTCGTCGGCCAAAATCTCTCTAACGCGAGAAATGATGGTGGATGTCAACTGTTTTTGTAAGCGTTCCCGAACGTCAACTTCATGGCGAACCCATGCATCGAGGACCCCCTTCACTTGACGGTAGAGGGCGACCTTTTGCTGCAATTCGTAAGCTTGTTCCACCAGGACGACCATTTCCTAATATCAATGGAAATTATGGCATTCTCTAATACTTGGCAGAATACGTGACCTAACCTTTGACATGTCAAACAGGGCGTCCGTAACGTTAACGATATCAGACATTTTTGAGATATGGTTGACACGCTCCTGGACAACGGCTTTGTGATCTGCACGCGCGGACTCGAGTACATTTTTGATAGTCTAGCGATAATATGAAAATAGGTGTAATAAATAGTGGCACTCTTCTCAATTGCATGATAAGCATACGTACAGCCTTTTTCTCCTTGAAATATTCCAGTACGCCTTCCTTGCCGCCCCGATACCACAACCAATATGCACCGAAAATGCAAACCATTTCAAAAACTTCGGCGTCAATAATGTAGATTTCTTTGGAAATTAGATAGGCAGCCATCGAAGCTGCCACAAGAACCGAGCTAGACTTTGCGGCCAAGTTATCACCGGGAAAAAGCTCGATTAACGATCTGGCTTCTAATTTCGGGTCAGGATGCTCTGTCCCAACCGTATGCGTGTGCTGTAGACGCCATGGTAGACATTTGGCTGTAGCAAATTGAGGAATCCTAGCAGCTGCAGTATTCCTTGACAGTTGTGTTGCGCTCCTAATGAAGAACGACCGGAAAGCCATGGTCAAAAGCAAATGTAAAATTATGACGAGATTCAAAAGTTAAGCCAAGTTAACCCTATATCCACGTGATTATGTTGTTGCCATGGTTGCATCATTATGCTAAACCTCACTTTAAAGCCCTGCGCTTCGCAAACCATTGGAAAGAGCAGATCCGCTGCATCCCGTCGCTCTACGCAGTTCCGCAAACTGCGGGTCGAAACTGCCGGCAAACGTGAAACCCCCAGTTGGATGCGGATTTTTTAAATATCATTAAAAGCGGCTCATTGAAATTTGCCACGCCGTGGCAGAGATCGCCCTCTCTTGACCGCCATGTCGAAACGACCCTTTTCATACTATTACGATGATGGTTCACGGTCACGAAGCTCTTCTCCATATCCTGCTGCTATTCCCCCGAATGATGCAGAGCTGACCTTGTCGCTAACTGGGCCTCACAGTAAACCTACCGTTGCATACTTTTTTAATGAGGAGGTTTCCGCATTTCACTATGGGTTTGTATCTAGTTTGTTAAAAGTGATTCACTTTATATGCAAAATCCCTTTTGCTGGTTGTCCTGCAGTCACTGATATCTCTGTACCATATTCTGATTTTCTAGTGAAGGGCATCCAATGAAACCTGCACGCCTTGCTTTAACACATAACTTGGTGATGGCCTACGGACTAGATAAAAAGATGCTTAATTTTCGCCCACGTGCTGCCACAGATGACGAGATTGCGGTCTTTCATGAGGATGATTACATTGAATTTTTGAAAAGGTGGGCAGAAAGTTACCGTCTTTCAAAGGAATATGGTTTTAGCAGTCTACCCTTCATATACCTGGTGCTAAACATATTCCATTCTTTCGTGTATAAAGAGTCAACCCGGGAAATCTGCAACACTACAGTTCGATAATGGGAAAGTTTAATATTGGGGTGGAGGATTGTCCAGTGTTTGACGGAATGTTTGATTTTTGCCGGATATATACCGGCGCTTCATTGGAGGCGGCACGAAAGCTAGTATCCGGCGTATCAGACGTCGCTGTGAATTGGTCTGGAGGATTGCATCATGCAAAGAAATGGGAAGCATCTGGGTTTTGTTACGTGAACGATATTGTTCTTGCTATACTTGAGTTGCTAAGGTAGGACGGGTACCATTGAGAGGGGCGCCGCGTTTTAGTTTCACCTGCTGTCAGAACGCTCACTTCTGTTTATTTCACTTCACAGGGCATTTCCGCGGGTCCTGTACGTCGATATAGATGTACATCACGGTGACGGTGTGCAAGAGGCTTTCTACATGTCTAACCGCGTGATGACCGCTTCATTTCACCGATACGATGGGCACTTTTTCCCTGGCTCTGGCTCAATAGAAGAAAAGGGAACTGGCAAAGGCAAATACTACGCAATCAATGTACCTCTTGCAGAGTATATTGATGACGACGCATACGCATACGTTTTCCGCAACGTTATGACGGATATCATGAGTATGTTTCGTCCAAGTGTTGTAGTCCTCCAATGTGGTGCAGATAGTCTAGCATCGGACCGACTTGGATGTTTTAATCTCAGTATACGGGGCCACGGACAGTGTGTACGGTTTATGAAGAGTTTCAATGTTCCTATGCTTTGTCTCGGCGGGGGAGGTTACACTGTCCGTAATGTAGCCCGAGCGTGGACATATGAAACGAGCGTCTTGACAGATACTGATTTGACGAACGACTTGCCAAATAATCCATATATGAGCTATTACGGACCCGACTACAAATTGCACGCACCCATTGTAGACTCGAGTGCGGAGAATGCAAATAGTAGACCAATCACTGGACAGCATTCGGGAAAAGGTGCGCGAGTACTTGCGGTATGTGGAGCATGCACCCAGTGTGCAAATGCAAGAGATCCCCTCGGGTGTAGAAAAGTTGTTTGAATCTGGCGATTGGGAGGTAGGTGATACGTTTTGCATTTTGTGGTGTGTGCTCTTGTTGATTTCGGTGGTGGCTTGGCGCGCAGGTTGATGATTTAGAGGATGCTGATGCGGATCGGAGGGACGATATCGGATTTTACCGTCCCCTACGAGGAAAAGAAAAGGGTCGCGACGACGACAGAGAGTATTATGACGGGGAGGAAGATCAAGACGGGGACGTGCACGACGCAACGGACTTTGAGGATGATGAAGATGAGGTGCTGGATGTGTAAATGGCCAGAAGCAATTGCTCTGGCAGGGAATTGCCTTTTTTTTTTTTTCTTTTTTATCCCGGCGTATTAGACCCGGGCGTTGGATTTTGTTGCATATATTCTATAGGATACTGACTGTACATAAACGCTTAATCGACGCTGATTACTTGTCATAGAGAGAATACACACAATGTTGAAAAAAAGAAAAAAAGGCTATCTAATTACATTGTATG